TCAATTTGTTTTAGTTTAAATTCCATCATGATTTTCATATGTACATTTATTTCAAGGTGAATTCGAAGCAAAAAGCGTTTCGCAGTTTCTTTTTTTTTTTTATCAGTTATGGAGAAAATAACTTGTAAGCACCGAAGGGAGATCTAATTTGTTTTCTCTGATTTTTTTTCCTGTTTTTGTTTCTCAGAGAAATGTAACTGTCCCAAAAAGATCTTTGCCAATTGGTACAACATTCCGCCATACATCAAATATAATGGACCAGGACAGAATCCAACCGGATTATTTCCGCATTTCCTCCCACAATTGTTTTCTCACTGCTGTGGAAACTGTTCCGAAGGTGACGGACCGTCAGAGATCATCTATGATGTTAAATTCCAAGAAAACCTGGTGGCCATAAAGGATATAAGCAACCTTGAGAGCGTTGATACCATCACGTTTCCTATCAGTGGGAACAAGGATGACCCCTCTTATAAGAATGAGTTTAAATTCTTGCCGCTTATAAGCTCACCGGGAGTGGCTTTTATCGTTGTTGAAGAACCACCTGGTACTTCTGCTAAAGCTGTGTTTGACTCGGTCGTGTCGGGGTGGCCTGTGCTTGTACTCACCATTTTGATGGCCTTGTTGTCTGGGATAGTTATGTGGGCACTGGTAAGTAATTTTTTTCTGGCCGAAAATGTCATAGTGTTATACTATGAGGATTGACTTTAGTAACCTTCTTTCAATCTATTATAAAGGATACTAGGTACAATCCTGAAGAATTTCCGAGGTCGTTTATCAAGGGGAGCGGAGAAGGTTTCTGGTGGGCTTTTGTCACAATGACAACTGTGGGGTAAGAACTTTTCACAGTTCAAGTAAACATATTTTAGTAATAGTAATGGAACCGAGAGAAGTCCAAGTCGGTCTGTAATCGCACGAGTGATTAACAAAATTGGACGAGCACGAAGCGGGAGTCCGATTGTTAATCACGAGTATGATTAGAGACAGAACTGAACGATACAAGTCCTGTCACCAATTAATCATAACCATTTCAATTTCCGAAAAAAAAATACACCTAGAACAAATATCTTCAGTGGAGACAAAGTCTTCTGTTAAAAATTCCTCCATTTTGGAAATTCCCGGGCCGGTTTTTCTTTGGAAGAATGGTTGTTGCCATGGTTATCGTGATCATTTCTGTGATTGGTGGCTTAGCTGAGTAGACTTGTATGATTGGCTGCTTCAACTGTCCGGGTACAGGTATCCGATTACAGCCAACTGTCCGATTACAACTGTACAGAATGATCAGTAAAAAATGAAGGTGCGAATGCACCAATAATATTTGAGGAATTTGTAATGGTTATGATTAATAATGGTAATATGACAGCGTGGAGTACAATTCGGTCTGAAATCATACGAGTGATTAACAAAATCGGACTACCGTGAAGCAGGAGTCCGATTTGTTAATCACGGGTATGATACAGCTTTTTTCTGACGACACGAAGTCCTGTTGGCAATTAATCAAAACTATAACAAACTTTCAGAAAGAACATAGATATTAGTAATACGTTTTCGTAAAACAAAAACAACAGTAAACTTGGCGAAATACGAGACAACAGCGCGCGCTCATCACGTGTTAACTGTCCTATTACACTGTCCAATTGCAAGCATTACGCGTACTCTGTCCTATTAGTGCTCACATCGGGCTGGTGATAACCAATCACGTTTTAATATTTTTCTTCAGTTTTAATTAACCTTCCGTTTAGTTATGCTTTCTATGAAGCGCTGAAAAGGAAACGAAAATTATAGAATAAAAAATTATTGCTCAATGTGAAGCCTCAGTAATTAATGATACATATAAATTTCCTGGGAGGGGGGGAGGAGGCACTGTAGGTATAATTATGTAGGACATTCAACTATGAAATTTATTCTGCGCTTTTCTTGTTGTGTTTGTTGTTGTTAGTAATGTCGCCTTTTCTTTTCTGTTCAGCTCCCTTTTTTTCCTTTTTTTATAACATCTCCGTCACATGACTACCATTCGACATTTTTCTTTCAGTTATGGTGATCGATCTCCCCGGGGATTTCTTGCTCGTATATTTGCGATAGTCTGGGTTCTAGTTGGCCTCGTGATCACATCCATTTTCACCGGTGTAGTGACCACCTCTCTAACAGCCATCACACTGAGTACTGATGTCAAACTTTATGGTGCTAAGGTTGGTTTCAGCCAAATCTTAAGCACATATTTCCCAAAGGCCTGGATATGGATTTGTTACGAGGACCGAGGGAAATTTTGACGCGTTGCCAAAAAAAACTGTTTTGCAACGACTGCAACCGAACTTTGGAATTGATGATGTTATAGTAAACTCAAAACATACATTTCTCACAAGAATTTTTCCGGCACCCAGGAATTTAGCTTTACAGGGAGCTTTAAAAAGAAAAGAATCGTTACTCAGACTAGTCTTAAATTTCAAGTTGTCGCCAAATATGTTCCTATCGCAAATTATACTGGGGTTTGACTGAACTCGTCGGTTTCGATTCAGTATATTTAAACGCGGCTTAAATTCTAAAACAAACACATAACAGTTATGTAAACATTACATAACTGTTTTCCTTGGAACTATTGAAAGTTATCTTTATTGTACAGGTTGCAGCAGTGGCCAATTCTACCGAGTACAAGCTGGGTTTGAGCAAAAATGCAATTTTGAAAGGTGAATTCTTAGGGATGACTTTAAACTGACTCACCACTTTTTTTAAAACTAACAATGATAATAGGTTGATTAAGACGATAATAACAACTTTTTTTCCTTTTAACATAAAAATTACATGTTGCCGTGTGTCTGCCGTGTAATATTTGTAAGAAGAACAACGTGACACTCTAGGCACGGCCGAGTGTGTGGGTATGTGCGGATGTCCTTAACATATTTTGACGTATCTTGTGATCTATTATCGTACAGACCCACAGCAACAAGGAATCTATTTGTTTTATATAATAAAAAGCAATATATTGTTCATTTTGATGTCGTTTGTGCGTCTGTCCTCCAATAGATCATAAGTAGGAACCAATCAAAATTCGTATTATACAATTCAGCTTATCTTATAATTATTTCTTTTTTTGTTATTATTTTAATAGAATTTAATGACCTAGAATCGATCGTTGAACCTCTGAAGAATCGCGAGGATAATTTGAAGGGCGTGCTAGTAGACACTTACGTGGCTGGGGAAATGTCAGAGTTTTCAAGCGATGAGCTTCGAGTCAACAAAATCATCGACCATAATTCTTATTATGGCGTCGTATTTGGAAATGGAGACTTGACAAAAATTCCAATTCAGGAATGCTTCACTGATTATGTGTTGTCTCATCAGGCGGAGATCTTCGAGATTGTGAAGAAGGGTACTAAACCTATGAGTGTAAGTAGTACAGCCATTTAACATAAAAGGATGGTCGGTTCACATTTCACCTAAATCTGATAAGATCGGCTCCTTAAATTCTCAATTACTTAAGTCCAAATCCGTCGCGTTTCATTGTATCTATTTGTTTGAGTTGAGTTCACATGTTCGTCTGATGTTATTTACACAAATTTTGCAAAATTTTTCTCGTAATGTCCGTTACGGTCTACTACTTCTTCTTAACTGAATTAGATTTACACAAGTTTCATGCGAGAAGAGCAGATAGCTTAGTGTCACTAATTGATTTTCGCGGTCACTCAGTTCCACAAAAAAATTGAAATGTCAAAGAAATATAAGTCACCCGACAACAGTTTTTTCGTAATACTCGTAACTTGATAACTTTATCATAAGACATATTTTTTAAGTGAATTACCTAGGTCATAGCCACCAACATTTTACAAATATATTGACTCATCTCTGTGCCAGTTTTCGATCGTCACGCGCTCCTCCATGTTCACTATTGCCCTTTCAACACAAACACTCCCCCACTTCATCGAAGGCCCGCAATATTTATGTAGTTTGTTCTTGCCTTGATCAAGCACAAGATAGCTAGAACATTAATTCGTCTGTTAGCATAAACGAAAACACTCAATGACCAGCTTTAATCTGTTCCATCAGGAGCCCGACGGGAACGCAGCTTTAGAACGTTCGTCTGGCTTGTTTGATGCTACTACTCCTCTGTTTCAACGTTCCATGTACACTTGCGTTGGTCTGTTGCTGTTTTTCGCGACCTGTGGTATTATCTGGGATTACGGTTACATGAGGTATTGGAAGAAGAAAGCCGAAAAGGGTACGAACATTTATTGAAGTCGATCATGTATTTATTTCTTAGGGAGGCGTTTCGTTAAAAGCATGATAGTCTAATATATGGTCGGACACTTCAGATATACATAGTTGGACTCATCCGATAGATGGTTCGACACATCCGATAGATGGTCAGACACATCCGTTAGATGGTCGGACACATCCGCTACATGATCAGACACATCCGATACATGATCAGACGCATCCGATTCATGGTCGGACAAATCCGATACATGGTTGGACACATCCGATACATGGTCGGACACATCCGATACATGGTCGGACACATCCGATACATGGTCGGAAACATCAGATACATGGTCAGACACATCAGTGAAAACTACTGTATACATAGAAGTTAGCAGGACAGTGAAAACTACTGTATACACAGAAGTTAGCGTCTCCTGTCCCTGTATCGTCTCGGTGTTGACAACTGTCAAATGTATTAAAATATAATCCTTTCTAAAGTGAAAAACATTTTTTCAACGGGCCGCATGCAACATTGTTTCTTACATTCATCGTAGAAAAAGTCAGGCGCAGCAACACGATAGCACTTACTGATCACTTAAAATTCAATTTTTTCCTCCTTGGAAATCAACTCAAAATTCTTGAATCTTGTAACCGATGTGAAAGAAAATATTTGCTGGCTTGGATCACTACACGGACTGGACTTTTGCGGAAAATTTTCTCTATATCTTTTTCCCTTTATTTTTTTCCCACGAGTTTTGGGTATGACTCTTGATTTGTTGCTGTGTTCCAGCCGGAACATCTCACAAACATTTACTGCTTTCCACCAGATGAAAACTTCCGTATTGTTTTCGTATTTTAATTTACTCCAAATGTCCAGTTATAAATCATCTACCACTTACAGGTGCCTTTACCACCATGAATGACTCGAAAAGTAAGACGATTTGAGGATGTTAGGATGTATTCCTTGTTAATGTTCTGCCACTCGAGGAGAACATAACAATTTGCATGCTACAATGGCGGTGATACAACGTGTAACACTCAATCCCCACAAATTCAAACCACTCCGTATTTTGTTTCATGTTGCAGAGGAACTCGAGCTGCTTGGTATTCCTGCCTATGAAATGGCGAAAAAGAACCTGGATATGCTAGATGCCTTGATGGAGGAAGTGCAAGACTTCTACGACAACTGGGAGAAGAGAATGGACGAGATTGTGGATAAACATGAGATGCAGCTAAGGCTACAAGCAAAAATGAAGAACTTGGAGGAAAAAGCGACTGAAAAATCCTCTTACGAAAATGAACTTTACATGAATAGATGAGTTATTTCACTGTCTCATTCCTCCATTTTCACTGTTTCCATGTTTTTGCATTGTTCCACTTTACTTCACACACGTAGCTGAGCAATCATGCTAAAAGTACTTCATTTACTTCGTAAACTAATCCTGTTTAAACTTCCTGTTAGATTACGAATTAGCTCGATGGAGCGCCACCTCTAACCCTCTTGTGCCGAAAGCGAATAAGTGAAAAACGCCGTATCTAGCCCTAGGAAGGCGATATTAGAAGAGTGCAACTTTACTTAGAACTGTCTCGAAAAATTATTTCAAATGGTTGTTACTCCGTTCTCTTCCATTTTTACTGAGATAACGAAGGGAGCAATGACGATGAAATACTTCCAAACAAAGAGCAACCCAATGCGAAGGAAAAGCCCAGTTTTTGAGAAAAAAAAACAAAACAAACAAAAAGATTCCGAATTACTTTGAAACATTTGAAAACATTCGAAAAGATTCAATTTCAATTTCAATACTTTTTAGTCACGATTTTGCTTAGGAATACGAGGATTTTCAGATTAGCACCGTTCTCAAGTCCACGTTGACCCAAACTGCGTCGCAACGCCTCTGCACTTGATCGAGTAAAATGTGGCATGAGTAATTCAAACGTTCGACATTTGGAATCTTCATTGAGTCGACCTGGCAGTTTACGCGACCTTTCAGATTAAAGGATTAACGTAGAAAGTTACCTGGATTTGGCATGGGAATGACGTTTGACAGCTAAATCATTCGCATCATTTATTAAATAATATGTCCTTAATAAACAGAGACACTTTTTGCACTTCATTTACGCTAGCGATCAAGTCTCTTCTGAACGATGAGCAAGACGTAGGCTGTACAGTATTGCACAAAGAAGGATACACACACTCCTGCACTCTTGACGATTATTTTTAATATTTTACAATTTGTGACAGTAAAGTCGTTCAAGATTATCTCAAAAAGGTAGTCTTGTAGGTTAGAGAACGATGTAATGTCTGGTGTCTAAAATTAATCATAATTTGCCGCATTCAACGACATTCTTACTTGTCGCAAAAATTCAAGATAGACATAATTTTGTTATTGTCTACATTCTCGTCGGAGCGTAAAGATATGGACAGGGTTGAGTTTCGAAGAATGCGTCCCAAATTTTTACGTACCTTGTTTATCATGGTATCCTTTCAAGTTATATATGTATTAACAATAATTCGTCGCTTCTTGAATTTTCCTAGATTTTTTTATTGTTTGTTTAAGGTTCTTTGAAAGCAGCCCGCTTGGTAAATAAAAAAAAATTTGTTGTTTCAAAACATTCAAGAACAATATAATTATTTCTCCCATTGACTATAAACCGTTCTTACAATCATCCCGTGCATCTTTTCGTTATTTCATCGCTTGCGTCATGCAACAAAAATATGAATCTTCTTAATTCCTAGGTCTACGGCTGCAAAGATTCCCATCGCAAGGTTGTAACGTGTTTCAAAATGTAATGTTTCGCGCTGTTTACATCTGTCATACAAAGCAAATAATAGAATACAAATACAAATTCAACATCAACTGTTTTTGTACCTTACATTAATTTACAAGATACAGAAAAAGATATTTTATTTGGAGAGTACAGGCTGCCCTTAATAATCATAACAGAGGAGCTTCTCTAAATCTATTTGCCTCAATTCTAATCAAAGAACCCGTGCCAACGAAACAAAGATGCAATTTTAGGCGAAAACGGCGTTGCATTTCCTAGATTGGACAAGATCGAGAACATTCGGCGGATTTTCGCCATTCTTTAATCGAGGAAAGCGGAATTTTCCAAAAGTGCTGTCGTCATGCCGACGTTTTTAATTTTTTTTTCCGGCACACAATTATTGTTATGTTTTTTTAACGATTTTGGGGCAAACGTCAAGAGTGAGTACAAACGAAATAAAAGGGATCCAGGTTATCTGTTTTCCCATCTCTTTACACTACAATTGCATGGGTCTAATTAAAGAACAGGTACAAAACGAAACAAAAAAAGGTTGTTATAAAAATAAGTTGCTCTTGTTCGGAACACTTGAAACTTCGAGTTAGTTTTTGCCCCTCTACAATCTAACAGCGTTTAGATGAATTAAGAATTGACTGTATGAAAATTACCAAGTAAGACACAAGTATTTACTTAATCTTTGAGACCGAAAAAGCGTCAGAGGCATACGTTATAGATATTCTCTTTAATTTTTGTATTTATTTTTGTTTTCCTAAGGTAGGCATTTTTCCATAAGTCATAGTATTCTCCAACCGCGATTAAATTTCAATATTTGAAATATATTAAAAAATGTACCTTCATAAATTGCTGTTGGCCAAAAATATTACCTTTAATTCATAAAATTTCATTTTTCATGTAATATTTTAGCGTTTAGTTAAATTCGATTGCATTCGACGACCAGTTTTGTAAGAAGGTGTATGACAGACTTTTTCATTAATTTGTGTTGCGGAGTCATCCTTCTGTTTATATTTAGTCCATATTTTGAGCACGTAGGACCAAAGACATCCTTGACAACGCTTTATTCAAATTCTACTCAAACCCGTTGATGTTTAATTTGTTGTTCAATTAGAGCGAGCTATGATTGGCTGGCGCAAATGACATCCTGTCAGGTGGTAATAAATTATTCATGCACGAAATTTACATTTGCACAGAATTTCCTCGAATCTAGAGCGAAAATTCAAACCGATCTTAAATCGAATGTAGCCTTTAATTCTACACGTATTTCTGAGACTCAACCGGTCGCAAAAAAAGGAAGAAAGAGAGAAAAAGGCAAGCCTTTACTTGAGCAAGTTGAACATGCTATGCGAAACTACCTTCGCCTGGATGAAATTCGTTTTGGTCAGTTGCATGGTTTCGACATTTTCCCCCAGTTTAAGCTGAAATTGGCGAATTGCTTTTACCTTCAGGTAACCAATCCTTTCTTGAACCTTTTTTTTGCAGCTTTTGAAGCTAGTATTGGCATTATCTCTGAGCACAGAAGCGAAAAATTACAAGCAAACACTAACAAGTAAGATTCTTTCATTAGTTATATGAAGCATTTTAATGTCGCTATTGAAGTTGGTAATATTCTGTGGTAACGAAACGCCAAGACATATCAGTGAATTGATTATAATTTAGTTGTGTTTTGTTTTAAAGATAATTTTTTTTCAGTGAGAACGATAATGATCATTTTGCAAAGCGATATGGATTGTTTCGCAGTTTATACGCTGCTTAAATTTGGGAGGGGGAAAATGTTTCGAAATGTTACGCAGTAGCAATTATCAGCCTACATAATCGAGTCAAATTATCCACAATGCTGTAAGCACTACTAGAAACAGCTTAAAGGCCCTCGACACTTCCATTCAACTGTTGTCACCATAACTGAAGCCACAATTCATGAGCAAGGAATAGAGAATGTTTCTAGACATTTTTCCACCTTCTTTAAGAAGAACGAAGTCCTCTCTGCTACTAAAATTTCACTCAAAAGTTTCACAAACACAAAAAAGATTTCGAATTTTTGCAGTGTTTTTATCACTCTGTGCAAACGGAAATATATGTTTTCTTCGAATCTTGGCAAAATGTAAACGGAATTGAATAGATCGCACAACTGTGAAACACAACTTTGTAACATTCAATATTTATTTAGCCTGCAAAAGAGAGAAGATAAAATTCTACAGTGGATAAATTATAAATTTGTCCCCCAAAAAATTAATTGCTGTGATCATTTAGATCTATATTATCTGACACGAAATTTATCATAAGTTACCTTAAAACTAAGAAAAAAAAACCAAAGATGAGTTATCTTAGGAAACGAAAACATTTATAAGAAAATGATGAATTATTTTCTCGTCTTGCCGCAAGAACTCGTTGAAAAAGGCCGTGACATGACATCTGTTTGTTTCCGGGGCTCAATGATTGGTGGAAAAGTTGCAGCAGGTGTTGCAAGCTGAGTATAATATACGAACGAAAATAGCTAGAGTAATTTATTTTAGAAGTTGCAAGAAAAAATTTTTGGTCATTCGATCTTTACTGGTAAAGAAGTAAATAGAAGATATTGTGGGGATGACGTTGAAATTCGACAACGATGTATCGTATGTACGATATATCGTTCAAATTTGGGGGAAAATACTAAGACTTTTTTTTTCGTTCGACACTTTTTCGAAACTGTTGTATGTTAATTTACCTTAATGACTCAAGATTGGTAAGTTAGGGTGGCGATATGCTGGAAACGTCTAAACTTTGATGAAGTGAAAAGCGACCAAGCAAAATTAATTGATTAATTTCGCAAAAGCCCTCATCTTGATCTGATCTCCGTTATTTCAGCGAGCATTAGTTTAAGTTTACCAAGACTTCTTTGTAAAATATTGTGAAACTGAACTTGCATGATAAGGCCAAAAAATTCGCTAATTCAAAACGACATTGTGACAGTTGGCTGTTTTGAGTTTCTTTCTGAGATCACCGGCTGAGGACTAAGCGTTTTATCGTGAATAGCATGCAGGAGTTTCGGCATTAAAGATGGCTTGTCTTAAGAAAATCTCGATTATAAAAAAGAAGAGAAGTTTCTGTTAAGAATTTCCCGAAATAGCTCCTCGACCAGAATTGATCTCCAAGAAAAAAAGTGAGTAATTCATCCGTGGCCTTCCCGCCCTTAAACAACACAAAGTGTACTGATTTCACATTTTGGTTTCGTAAAAGACATTTAGGCCAAGAAGCGTACCAGGTTTGAAACACACATGCAGAGCTAGTGCTTTACTCGTCAAGTTTTCTAATTTAAACACGCCTTAGTTTCCTTTACGGTCGTCCGTGATTTTCTGTAAGTCTCTAGCGTCAAGTCCTGTCTCTTTCGCATTATTTAGTTTGAACTACATGGTTCTGCTCTCAAAGCACCATGGAGGACAAAATGAAAGTCCTTTACGGCAACTGCAGGAATGACTTGCGTTAATGTACAGGTTAAATTTCTTCTGCAAACAATAGCACGTGCATTGTTCTAGCTTTGATTTATCGTTGCTTATTCTATTTTCTGTTAATGGGGTTGTCTCATACGCCTGCTGGATTGTAATAAGGTTGCGTGAAAAGATGACCATGTATGCATCTTTGGATAACTTATATTTTTTTAAAAAAATCTTGCTTTTTCAACACCAGGCACATGTGGAAAGGGGGATATCAAACTATCCGATGCAAAAGGAAACTTCACAAACCCCGGAGGATATGAAGGGTATCCGAACGAAACAAAATGCAGGTAGGTTAATTGATGCACCTTCATTTTCTATAATCTATGAATATGTTCTTTATTCATGTATATATTCACTTTGCTCAGCTTCCTCCACTGCCCGTCGTACGTTGCACCATCAAAGGCCAGACTTTTGCTTGCAACTCGCTAATTTTTGCGGATTGCTCCCAATTTTTAGAAAAGAGAGAAGATGTAAAAAGGAAAAAAATTTACCCTTGCATTAGGACGGGTGTCCATAGTTTAAACTGTAACTATGAATATCAATGGAAAAAGATTTACATAGGTTCACTCTTATTAAAATGCTTTATTCTTGGTCTATTTTTCATCATTATCCTTATCACTACCATCGACACTATCCTTATCTTTATAGCTATCGTCATCATCATCCTTAATTTAATTATTATTATCATTATTGTTTTTAATACCATTATCATCATTTCCATTTTAATTTATGGAAAGAAATTCATCATAAAGGTTTCGTTTCGTTGTGCTTTTTGTTTCAGTTGGATCATAGAACCAGGTTATATCTCGAAAATTACAGTCACATTCCATGACTTTGACTTGGAGTTTAGTAAGACATGTAAACCCTATGATTCCGTCAGAGTATTAGACAAATGCAATAAATCAAAAACTTGGGAAATGATCGAAGAAAACGTAGAAGGATACTGTGGAAACGGGACGTTTGGCATCACATCTCGATGCGAAAGAATGAAAATAGAGTTCAAGTCTGATGATTCAGTAACAAGGAGGGGATTCAACGCTACCTATGTGGTTCAACGACAGCCTCGTAAGTCTAAACAGTCAGCCCTTAAACCCATTCTACGAACTTAGCAATGCACAAAACCACAGACCTTGATTCTGAATTACTCACGAACGAAATACCATTGATATTTCCTTCTTCTTTCATTTGTTTCCTCTCTGTTTTCCCTGTTTTTTTCCTCGTCTTCCTTGCCAAAATTGCTCCTCCCTCTCTCTCTCCCTCTCCCCCTTCGTCCGTCTCTCATCTTTTCTCCCTTCGTTACTCTGCTCCTCCCTTCCTTTAATAATAATAATAATAATAATAATAATAATAAATAATCATCATCATTTATTCAAAGCATATCCTATTAAAAAGATGTGGCTCTTCATCTGTGAAAGCCCTACAAAGGTCTTACAAGGAAGACAAAGCACGCGCTTTCAAAAATGTTTTCCTTGAAGTCCGAGCATTTTCTATTCCTCCATCCTCTACACCTTCATTCCTCCGTTCACCTTCTTAGAGCAAAGAAACTACTTCGTGAGAATAGATTCCACGCTATTTCGAGGACTTAGCACCGTTTTACTTGCTGAAGTATAAATGTATATACTACACTATTATGAACTCTAAACAATCATGGAAAATCACATGACTGTAGGATTTTTACAAGATTCCATTGGAAATAACATCGTTGTGTTATACTCATTAGTTGTTTTGTTATTTTAAATCACAGAGGCACCGGAAATAACATCGTTCTGCATTGAGGGAAAGAAAAACTGCTCAACAAAGATGGAGGCTGAAGAGTTTAGTACCCTGTTATTAACTTGTAAAGCTTCTGCATCTCCTCAGCCAGTATTCAATTGGACGTACCTTGGTACAAACGAATCGAATCCCGAAGGATTTCTAAATAGAACCGAGAACCGCATTATAGATTTTCGTAACGGAACTCTTAAGATCAAAGATTTGAATAGAGGTGACACTGGCTTCTATGAATGCCACGCCGATAACAACGTCGGTCAACCTGACAGTGCAGTAATGTATCTTCGCGTAAAAGGTGAGACAAAAACGCTGATTCTTTACCAAAAAGATAAGTTTTCTTATTCAACAAATTTCTTTCACTTCGAGAGAACGACAGCTATCACCAAATCAACCCTTTATCTCGCTCAACCCTTTAAAACTATCAGTAATCAAGACATCATTTCTCCTTACAACACCGGTACAATATCAAGCAGAAAAGTGGTCAGAATAGAGAAAGATATTCATTTGGTGAATTACCAGTCGATTCAATACCGAACTCTCCGAATTAGCATGATAAGATTGTATGGCAGAAAGTAGGGAGAATCAGTACCACCAGTCTCCTTTAGCTCGACTAAACTGCATCTACCACACTGAAACAAAACAAAACAAAAAAATATAACAGAGCACATCTTTCCAAAATTCAACTATGTTGAAAAGTCTCGCCTATCATTGAACATTCCATACTGAAACATTTAAAATTTCACCCTTTTAAGACTAAAAATTGTGCAATATGCATAACGCCAGGGTAAGAGCACTCGACTTCCTTCCTTATGCCGCCTGTGCCTTAGCCCTTTTTACTTTGCAGGTTAAAGGAGGCAAATTTTTTCAAAACACTCTTACCTTTGGGCGATCTCCGGTAATTATAGTGCGCCAGTGTGCATAGACATAATCCTATAGAGTGATAAACCTAACCCTTGATTGGACCCAGTTTTCCAGTCAATTGATTCTTCCAAATACGTCGAAAACTCTCTTTAAGGAAACCCGTCACCCCGAGATTTCCATAACTAAGGTTATTATTCAGCTAAACGGGACTTTAGCGGATTGTTCCTCCCAGAATATTGATGTAACCTCTACAGATACTGTAGGAACTCTATGATATGATGTTTACACTAACTTTGCTATATCTAGAGTTTCAACCTAATTTAAACATTGGTGTTAATGAACGCTTTCTTATTCTCAAACTCGCAAAATTCAATTGGAATGTTTTTCGCCCTTTGGATTTTTCCTGACTTTGTTTTTTTCTTTGTCTATTTCTTTGTCTGTTTGTTTATCTTCACAGAGAAATGCAAATGCCCCAAGCGTATCATCGCTAATTGGTACGACATCCCACCCTACATACAAGACAATGGACCTGGTCGAGAACCTTCCGGACTATTTCCGCTGCTTCTTAAAGAAATTGTACCGCTTTGCTGTGGGAACTGTTCCGAGGGTGATGGACCATCGGAGATAATTTACCACGAAAAACGTCAACCAAACCTCGTGCGAATAAAATCACTCGATAACCTTGACAAGGAAGACACAATAACGTTTCCTATCAGCGGGAAAAAGGATGAAAGAAATTATCAGAATGATTTTAGGTTCATGCCATTGATTAGTTCACCTGGAGTGGCTTTCATTGTTGTTGATGAACCGCCTGGTTCTTCTGCGAACGCCGTATTCAACTCTGTACTGTCTGGGTGGCCTGTGCTCCTTCTCACTATGTTAATGGCCTTACTGTCTGGCATAATCATGTGGGGACTGGTGAGTAAAATTTGCTCCAATCATTTTATTATTCTCGGAAGCCATATTTATTGCCAAATCCCGGTTTAAATATTTACGAAAGAGTCTTTAGAGTTGTTACTCGTTAGAGTATAATTACAAGCTCTCATAAAGTCTAAAATATGCATAAGCTAATTTCTCTCTCGCCAAGGTATAATAATAATGATAATAAGTCTTTGATTTAAGATAAACTGCTTACAGCAAAAGTGTAAGTTAACATTGATTGAAACGTGAAAAGCGATTGAAACTATACTAAATAACCCTTATTAGATCTAATTTCATCTATTTCAAGATGACAGAAACTGGAAAAGACATCTATTTATGTCTACACGTTAAAAGCCTCCAGTTATAATCCATGGAAGAATGTTTGACGGAAACTGGAGTTTAGTAGTGTCGGTTCTTCCCGCATCTTTCCTTAATTAGTTCATAGTAATCATCTTCGTCGCTCTGATGTTCTCATCTTTTCAAAGGACACATGGTATAATCCCGATGAATTTCCGAGGTCATTTATCAAAGGAAGTGGAGAAGGCTTTTGGTGGGCTTTTGTGACCATGACAACCGTAGGGTGAGTGTAGTCGTAGAATACAGAAAATGTTCCACGTGTATGACCGAATCCTCGTACTCAGTTTCTGTATTCTGTATCTCCTATCCGAGCTTCATGTTGGGGGCTGTTTTGTGACATTGACTTCTGCATGTTTGATATGAAAACTATGTTCCTTCGGTTTGGAGTTATAATTCTATGAGTTATTAAGAAGCTTGAGAAAACAACTGTGTAGTCAGAATGATTTTAGGGCTTCCAAAATACGATCTATGTCTATGCAGTTTGAGGATCGCTTCAATGGCTTGTGCTATTGTGATGTGTAAATGTCTTAATGATCTGGCACCTGGCTATTTGTTGAACAAACTTTGCACTCGATCCACTATTTCATCAAGTAGAACTGCTGCCGGTGAGCGTGCCTTTAATTATCGTGGTGTAATAAACAACCTGAAAAAGGACTTGAAACAAAAAGTAGGCACCAAACAGACCCTTCCTTACATTCAGGGTGTTATGAAGGCACTAAACAGGAGTGTCGAAACGTTGGGTCAATGAATTGTAACTTCTCGGTTACACTCATTAAATCTTTAAACCAGAGTAGCATCAAATCATGTCAGACACCAAAAGTTTTAAGAAACGTCGAATAGATAAATTAGTGAGTAATCGAATCTCAACTGATTTCCGTTCTCTCGTTTTCTTTCAGTTATGGTGATCGATCCCCTCGGGGTTTTGTGGCTCGCATCTTCGCAATAATCTGGGTTTTAGTTGGCCTCGTTATCACGTCCATTTTCACTGGTGTTGTGACTACCTCTCTGACAGCCATCACACTGAGTACTGACGTCAAACTCTATGGAACTAAGGTGGGTTTATTCTGCCCTCAATAAAAACTGTTCCCCTTTAAAAGAGGTCACCTAAAGCAGTTTGCTCATAGACGAAAAAAATAGTCGATGATGAACTTGACATTCAGAATCTTATCGAATGTTTCAGGCCATATTAGAACCTAGTTTATGTAACGTTACTCTCTCTAATAGTTCAGCGGTAGGTCAACTGACTGAAAAAGCTTGTACAATTAACTGGGTAACTTCACATTTCATCTCTTTCATTTCATTACCAATTTTTTTTTTGTACCGGTGGTGGAAATTTCTTATGCCTTGTTTTATACTCACCATGGACGTTTTAAAAACAATATATTATTTGAATTATTTTTATGGTCATTTCAGATCGCAGCAGTGGTTAATTCAACCGAGTACCGGCTTGGACTGAACAAAAATGCTAAAATGCAAAGTACGTGTTTAGTTATATAGAGAATAATAGATGGGCGTGCGTAGATATGGAATTTCTCTTCAAGTGTTTAACTCGATAGCTCACGAGTGAGGTGTCGAGTTGAACACGAGAAGAGAAATTCCATATCTGCAAGCAACCATGTATTATTTTATTAATCATATAAACACAATAGCCCTTTACTAACAAGAAAAGCCGACTTCATTAATGAATGAATCCCCGAATAACAATCGTAGAGTGCGTTGGCGCTAACTCTTAAGATGGAAAAATATGTTGAATCATGATTACAAAATCAACAATAGTCGTAATTTTCAATTTACAAAATTCTCATTTATTGAATTTCTCCTTACCGACAGGAGAAGTTTTTTCAGGTAAACGGCGAAAATCGGCCAGTGGTAAATCCTCCAGTTGTCGATTTTAATTCTCAACCGAGAGAAATGCTAACACCAAAGCCACTGAATACGTAACAATCAGTTTTTCTTCTTGTATATTGGTTTTCTTCCCTTTTTAGGAAAGTTTGAACCTCACTGTCTATCAGCGATACGGATTTTTTAGTGTTTCAGCCGCCATAATTTAAGAAAGCTCCAAAAAACAACTTGTATTGAGAATCGTGAAGGCTTTGCCGCTCATTGATCAACCTGACCGAGTGGCGCCAAAGGCGAGTGACGTGTCAGCAGCTGATTGGCTATATCAACACACGTGAAAAAATACGATATTTTTTCACGTGTGTTGTTACGGCTTTTCTCAGAGCCGGAAATCCCTGTATAACACCGCAGTTTATGTGATAAATCATATTCTGCTATAGATTAAACTACTGGAACAAGAGTGCTTCTTGTGAATCATGGGCTAGTCGGCATGTACATTTCAGTCTGTACCAGAGTCAGTCATCATTATCGTAGGTACAACACTGGAGGCGATTTTCTATTCATTATATTCACTTGAGGACCCAGAAAAAATATGTTTATCTTGATGACAGAGCGAAGTCGACTTCTAAAACGCGGGCTGACAAATTAAAAACTTTGTTGTGATAGAGCGACCTTGTTCGAAATTCTGAAACTTTTCTTGAGGTTTGTGAAGTGACTGACATAACTTCTCCTTACAATATCAATACAATGTCAATGCAATATCCAGCGGACAAGCGATGAGAATAGAGATTAATATCAACTGAACGATTATTAGTTGGTCCAGTACCAAATTCTCTAAACCAACATTATGAAAATTATAGAGCAGATATTAAGGAGAATTACTGATAAAATCATGTGCGTGAAAGGGTTAAAGTTTTTGTCTCCTGTATCTATACATTCTTCAATATCCAGAAGGGCATTTTGTAAAAAAGTTCTTCGGTATATAAACGATTTTTTATCAAAAAAATTGGAGTGTAACAAAACAAAGACCAGTCCACTCTCGTTTCTTACAGTTTTCTATATCAGTGTGAAACAGTTCGGTGGCGCTAAATGTCGACTGCGCTCCAATTTGAATTACGCCTTTAACTGAGTATCTACGTTATGCAATTATGTTCTCACAGGTTTCGATACATTGCAGTCAATTGTGGAACCTCTGAAGAATCGAAAGGATGACTTAAAGGGCGTGTTAGTTGATACGTACGTCGCTGGAGAAATGAAGGAATTTTCCAGTGAAGAGCTCCGGGTGAATAAGATTATTGACCACAACTCATACTATGGTGTGGTATTTGGAGAGGGACTGCTATCTGCAAAGAATTTCCAAGTCTGCATCGAGGATTATTTTCTTTCCAGACAAGCTGATATCTTTCAGATAGTGAAGGACAATACGAACCCTATGAAGGTGAGGTCTCAGTAGTTTAAGTCAATCTTTCGAAATGTAATCACCATTTTTCAATTATAGGTATAGTGTAGTTTATTTACTTCAACTTATTCTATAATTTATCAAATGGCCACCCTCCCTTCTGCTGAATTTTGACCACATTCATGCAATGAATCCGGTCTAATTGACTGTAGTTGGAAACTGTGAAAACAGATTTTAGCTGAGTATGAGATCTCGCACTCTTTCTTTAAATTAATTTGCATGATAGCACAGTCATTGCATATTTTAATTTGGAGCGAGCCTCTCGTGAAAGTGACTAAATAATTAAAATCTTGGCCTTCATAAACTTGCCTTTCCTTCTCATAGGAACCAAAAGAAAGCGCGGCAGTGGAGCGCTCGTCTGGTTTGTTTGATGCCGAGTCTCCCCTATTTCGAAACGCCATCTACTCGTGCATTGGTTTGCTGCTGTTTTTCACGTCTTGTGGCATTATTTGGGATTACGGTTACATGAGACATTGGAAGAAAAAGGCTGAGATGGGTGAGTCTAGCTAATGTTTTTACAGATTATGTAAATAATTTGTAGAGATATTATGCAATATGATGCAACTTTCATTTGTGTCGAAGGTTATACCCCTTCCAGCCACCTCAGAGAATGTTCTTCCATAATAGATTCCAAAATATTGCACCCTTCTCGAGATGAGTTGCTATTGGAACTGTTTTTCATATATTTAAGATCATAAAAACTGTTTATATTGTCTTGATAAATGATGATGCAATCATTTTAGACTTTTCTTTTCACCAGTTTTCCAGCTCTTTAATGAATTAAAAACCAGATAATATTTTTTGAATGGGTTTTTTTACGTGTGTTCATCCCGTATCTCAGTTGTGTTTATTGCGTACTGTAACGAATGAATGAAACGCGGTAATCATGTAGTCTCCATTTATCTTCTTTGATGATAACAACCATTTTGCATTGTCGATGATAACAACCATTTTGCATTGTCGTTTATAGATGAACTTGAGCTTCTTGGAGGACCTGGGTACGAAATGGCCAAGAGGAACCTAGACATGATGGATTCACTGATGCAGGAAGTTCAAGAATTTTATGACAACTGGACGAAGAGACTAGACGAAATCACAGAGAAACACGACGAGGAGCAGAGGTTACAGAGTAAACTGAAGAAATGAAAATGAATTGCACTTCTTGTAGAGGAACGATGTAATTTCGAGAAGTTGATAAAATCTTTAGCACAAATGGTTAGTAAGTGAAGTCATAGTAAGAGAATACATGTAGCATACCATTAACTAGTCCTAGTATGTCATTTCATCGATGGATATCGCATGTGGCACAGTATGTGAGTGTGTTTAGTCTAACCTACATTCAATGACTGCCTTCACGTCTCTACAACGAAAATTTAATTCTGCACCATTGTTGTTCTTGAAAGACGTGATAGTTGTAAACCTGTTTCATTAAGCGTGAAAGCTTGCTAGTGAGCAGGGACGAGTCCACTTAGGCGCCCCAAGGGAGGTTGCAATTAAAGAGAGGTGGCTTTAGGTAAATGTAGATTTAAGTGAATTTTTAGGTGTGCAAGATCCATCGAGAGCAATTGCAAAGAAAAACTCTTTGATTGGTTTGTAGCATCCACCTAAATTCGTAACTGGTCATTGACTGCTCAATGAGAGAGTGATCCAAAGTAACTGCGATCGTTTGGTTGATAAATGACCGGTTTCCGCTCGGTGGGTAATCATTGACTGTTCGGAGATCTTTCATTGACCATGGCAAGCCAAAGTACTCGTCGAGAACCCTTTAACACCCCCCCTTCTTCCATCCCCCTTCTATTGGATAACTTTTGATATGGTCTCACTAGGAGATTTTTTGTAAGGCATAAATCCACTTGCACGTAGTAATGATGTACACAGTAACTTTTATCGAAGCAATTTAAATGAAACAGGAGGATTAACCCCATGCTATCGCGTATAAATACAGTTGTGATGTGATTTCCGCTACGATTCAACATAAAGCGGTATTTCTCTTTCCAATATTCATCACTGACAGACTGTATATTGCCCCTGTGCTGAATGTTTAGACATTCTGGACAAGCTTACCTGATGTTAAGTTGTTGATGTTAACAAGAAAATCTGAACCGATAAGTAAGACTTCTTATCTTGTCCGAACGAAACCCAAGCCATTGACTTTATATGTAAGTACTGAGCCTATTAAAATCAAAGTTGGAGTGTAACAAAACAAAGACCAGTCCACTCTCGTTTCCTACAGTTTTCTATATCAGTGTGAAACAGTTCGGTGGTGCTAAATGTCGACTGCGCTCCAATTTCAATATTTTCTTGGATTCGTCTGACAGTGATGATTTTTCTCATGCAGTGAGTAATCAATTTACTATCACTGTATGCTTTTTGTTATTTAATTTTATTTTATTTAGCTGGAACTGCCGTTACGTAGCTATAGTCACAATAGATAATTGAATAATTCCATCTCGTTTACGTCTCGACTACAAATGAATGTGGATAGTGTTTTATACATTTTATGGACATGAGCATACATCCACGCGTAGTTAATAGAGATGTCTGGATAGGAGAGCCGGCAGAAAGCTAAGATGAAAAAACGGTGCTGCAGCGTATATATATACATATATATATATATATATATATATATATATATATATATATATATATATATATATATATATATATACATATATACATATATACATATATACATATATACATATATACATATATATATATATATATATATATATATATATATATATATATATATATATATATATATATATATATATATCGGGAACACCCTCACAATTCACTCACTTGCGTCTGTTTGCTCGTACTATAACTAAAACTATCTGTCGGGTTTCCAACCTATCATCTCCATAATGATTCAAGGTAGAGCAATTTTCAATTGAGTTTCGAAAGTGATCCTGGAAAGCTTTGGTTTTTTGCTTTACATCTCTTTGTGATTGGTCCGTATAACGTGCACTATCGTCTCAAACAATTAAATGTAAAACTAAAACCAATACCAACTTGGTCACTCAAGTTTTCCCGCGCTTTAAACAGGTTGTTTGTTTTAACTTTGAGTTCTCATTGATTAACGATGATGTTGACCTTTGCATTCTTTTGATTAGTAGATGAGGTAGCTTCGGTTTTTGGTTTCTTGGCCCTCAAATGAAAATTGCTCTTATTTTAGATAATGATTAACATAAGGATAAAGCCTCTCATTCCGTTAATTCCAAAGGCTGAACTTAATTCTTGTAAATTTCGTTGCAATGTTAGATCGAATCCGTATGTAAATATTGCCTGAAAACAGCCAGCTCAGCTTTGTAAATAAAGAAACCTGTCCTTGTAAATTATGTCATTTATAATACAATTCTTCCCGTTACATTATATCGTTATAAGCATGAGACCGAGACGGAAAATGTTTTTTTTTTGTCTTAATAAAAAGGGGGTGATGTAGACCTGCCTAACAGTCTTGAAAATATATCATGACACCTAAAAGAGCATGCTTTTAAAACTCATTTTGCAGCTCTTCGTTTGGTAACTTTGCTGAGCCGAAAAATTCTGGAATCCTGCGGATCCTAGCGCAAAAATCAGTCCATTCTGTTTCATTTAGAGATTTTTTTTCATTATTTGATTTGTGTCAATTTCATAACAAACAGTTTATCAAAGTTGAATGCAAAAATGGCAAAAAAATAAAAAACTTTTTGGGACCGGATACTACTCGGACTTTTGAAACACGGGCTCCGAAGCCTTTTCGACTCTAAATCAATTTAGTTCAGTATAACTCTGCTACCACTCTAGTATCATCGAAAAGCTGCAATTTGGTCGGCTATGCTACTCGCTATCCACTCCGTGACTGATAGAGGCTAGAGTGAGTAACCTAACAGTGGACGGTTGTGAGCAAAATGAAATGAAAACATAAGACTGTCTTGTTGTTCATCTATGGACGACTGGCAGATTTATGCTAAAACAACTACATTGTTCTCTCACGATTTCTATGCGTGCTCGGTACTGGAATTGGACTTTGCCCTATCGACTCTTAGTCGTTAAATAACAAATCGAGAAAGTTTCTCTAACTGAAAAATTACCATACACAAGACAGATTAGGTGTAAAATCCGTCCAGCAGTTCCTTTATTTGGCTAGATGACTTTTTAGTTATATTATTAACAATTTGAAATAAAATTACTGTTTTTAAAAATATTCTACATTCTACAGATTTTAAACGAACGTATTTAATATTTTTCACTGTCGTTTTACATCAAGATCAACAACTTCCGGAAATAACCAGCATTCATCTATAGAATGCATCACGTAGGATAGCATTAATTGGAAAGCATTTCACGTATCAAAGTGAACCAAGAATTTCATATTCACAAGATATGTTTACAATGCCAAAATATCAATCTTAAATTCTAAGAAACAACCAATTGTTTTATCTGGGTCAGGTAAAAGTTCTAATAAAGCATAAGTGGGAATTTACCAAAATCATATTCTTAAGGTACTGGTTGAAGCTAGTTACTCCAAAAAGACACTCAGGGGGAACGCTACTCAGTTCAATATATACCATTCTTTAACTTAGCTATAGTTGGTACATGAAATTGCGTTCCACAAGACAATTGAATCAAAACACTTGTTTAAACACAAGTCTACCTTCCTGAATTCATTATTGTCACCTTAGACTGTGTCAGTGAAGTTGTATGTTAGTGCAGTGCGAATGTCTATTGTAATCTGAAAGGAAAACGATTGATATTTGCCGGCATCACACGAGGCGATTCAGATATTGGGCAATACGGTTTTCGCCTGTATTTGCAAGAATGATGAGAAATATTCATTGAGACATGCATGCAAAATAAAATTATCGGCGTCAATCAAATATTTCTGTTCACCTGTTAACCTGTAACCTGTGAAATGTAGTTATGCATACATTAGCTTGATTACGTCGGTGTGTTACATAATGCACTTGATATATCATTTAATTTAGCGCATCACTCAGCTAAGAGCAATTATTATTATTGTAATTATTTAATTTTATTATAATTATGATTATGATTATTATTATGACAATGATTATTATATAGCTGACAACTTGTTCCGAAGGACGTAGGTTGAACTTCTACTGAGAGCACTCGAAGTTCTTTTCTCTGAGTATACATATGTCATCTACAGAATTACACCTTCTTTCGCTCATTTCACTTTGCCTTTTATACAGTTACGGCATAAGCAGATATTTTATAAAGAAAATCAACACTTTCTTGGATAACCTAGGAGTGCCATTCCTCTTTTATGGTTTTTTTTTAAGAGAGCCAACTTCCCTTTCATTCTCATTTTATCCTTATGCATTGGATGTTATTTGATGAGGTAATTTTTACACCTAAAGAAAGTAAAATTTCCACATAAATGCTATTGTCAAAAGACAGGGTCACCATGAAAACATTTCAGGAGAGACTTCTGGCGATGCAATTTCATAATAACTGGAGGAACCATATCGCCTCTAGAGAGAATCAGTTTCATCATGTGACTTGACTCAGCACCTTTCATCATGATACCACTCCGTTCTGATGGTGCCGTACAATGCTCCTTCGAAAAGGGAATGCAAAGTTATTCTTATGAACGTTCCCATTCAAGATTTCAGTTCCTCCTTTATCGGCTTGCTCTTGCTTTAATCGCGTCAAAAGCCGCAACTCTCGTCGATGTTTTGCTTTGAGATTTTCCAGTCTGAGACGGCAGTTTTTATGAAATTCGGTGAGAATCGTCTTCATCGTTTCTTTGCTGTTGTCATATTTGTCCCTAGGTTTTTGTTTGTTCAGAGATTCCAAGTAGTCACTGTATTCTGGTCCCAAAATAAAGGCAAAGTAGCTTAGTATCCTTATGATTATCATTTTCAGCTTAGACTATGTTAAATCATTAAACACTTGTCACGGAGAAATCGTCTATACTGTAAATAATTATCTTAATTTGGAGCAGTGACCACTTTCAAAATGGCCCAATGCATTTGTTTGTTTGTTTGCTTATTTTTTGTTTTGTTTTTTTGTTGTTTCTTTTTTTTAAGTGCAAAATTAGCGAGGCATTGAAATGCAATGGTAATCAATGGGTATCTCTCTATAAAAAATGGTTCGGCAAGGGAGACATTATCTATCAAATGCTTATTTCCATTTAATCATAGGCTTACGACCTGAACTGGACAGTTCAATTGCGGGCAAAACGACTCAGGGACTCAATCGTAAACTCATTCACTCTGACGAAGGGCTAACCCTTGAAACGTCAGCTTAAGAAACTCTTTACGGTGGCCAATTTGCATCATCAACTCACTTGATAGATCTAAATTACCCTATAATAGCCTAGCTGACGCCATACCACAATTTCTCTAGAATCTAACTCCTCAACTCAATGAAATTTTACTATCTTACCGAGTCTCTTCGGAGATGGATTGCGATTCTTTCTGGTGGTTAGCTCATATAGCAGGAAGATAACTGTCAGCACGCCAAAGGCACCTCCACACCACGTCATCGTTTGGATGTACACCACAGACTCTGCGTCAAACAAATTCTCTGTCTTTTCTGCCGTATTGTCTTTCTGAAGTCCCTGAAAATTCAGTAATGTGTTCCTGATTATTCATTCATAAATAGTATATTTTCGCGTGACTTGTGCTTACGGAAAGGTTCGAACGAGGTTCTGACGCACTGAGTGGTGGCTGGGATCGATTAAGTACATCACATATATCTCATTCGATGACTAAGTTGGTTATTTCATGCCATACGAAGCAACAACTTTCCGCTCACTCAATCGTTGATCTGGTGGTGAAACACGCCAATAGTTGACGTTTTTGTTTTCTTGCAGCACTTCACTCCACGATGTGCCCCATCTGTAAACATTCTGGTGGATTTTTCTTAATGTAACAGCATATGCAAAATTTTTCCTGCGAACGCAATTCTACATATTTGTTACCACGATATTCCCCTTGATATCTCGAAAGAGATCTTTCTCAAATGCGAGAAACTGAGTGTAGTCGTCCTTTAAGGTGAAACAAAGAGAAAAAGTGCTTGAAAAGGAAGTATCCTATCTACAAAGAAATGTTGCCTCCACGAGGACAAAAGGTCGTTTTCGAACGTTTCGTTTTGTTTCCTTCCTCTTTGACATCAAGTAACTGGGAAACAGTCATAAATCAAAGAAGGAAAATTCTCGTCATAAAGTACCATAATGATAATTACCGTAACGCCTTGAACATTGTCGGTGATGATTTGAAATACGGACACCCGCTCCTCCCTCAAAAACTCACGAAAGCATTTCTGCAACTTTCTAGCTTGTCCAGCCATTACAACTCCATATGCTGAGGAGTAAGAGATTATCTTGGTCATACGGAGAACTCCATCACTGAACAATTCCTTCCGACTTCCCACAGTGTAGGAATCTATGAGGGCGCCATCTACACGTCTGTCTTTCAAGGACTGGTACAAGTCCTCAATGGTAGCTACTATGGGTAAAAAAAATGAAACTTGTTGGTGCCACGTTCATAACAGTTAGTTTTCATACCCAACAAGTTTTTTTTTTCCGAACGACCTTCTTCTTTCAATTTGTAGGGAAGACGGAACTATGTGACATGCTTTTTTCCTTGACTAAAAAGAGCCTTTGTCCAATAATTTCAGTCTTTGAACAAAGGGATCCGTTAACGGAAATTTTTACATGGAGCACTTTTGTGGTTGAACGTTAATTGATGACGACAAATTGAGGCCTAAGGAAATCTTTCCTCCAGCTGGTTTCCCTCACAATTCCTCCTCGAGATGTACACTTCCAAAAAAAGAGAAAAAAAATTTTTCTTTATCAACTTGATCCTATTTTTGATTCCAACTTACCTCCATGCATGCGAGCATTCAATCGAGTTCCAAGACGAAATTCCGGTGTATCAGCAATGGCGGAAACCTTCGAATCGCAAGAATTAAGACCATATTAATAAGGTATATACTTGGAGAAACAAATTTTTTGAAAGTGAGCCACTAAGCAATCTAGGGGGGAACTTACAGTTCTGATTAAATCTAAGTCCTCGTAAGATGTTTGGACGAAGATGATTGTTCATTTTGATCGCAAAGTTAATCGGAGGAAGGAAGGAGGAAGGTTTGAAATAGAGAAATTCAAAGATTTGTTTCACCTTTGATCCATACACGGCAATATCCGATTTCATGACATTCATTGTCAAAGACGTAGTGATGAATGAAATCACAAGTGCGATGATGATGAGGCCACAATTGATCCAAACTATTCCAAACAACTTAGAGTGTATACCACGGGGCACACGGTCTCCATATCTGACAAAAAGAAAAAGGCAATTGTACCTTTCACATGCCAAATTCTACCGCAAACCTTTTATGGCTGATGATGTAACAACGCCAACACAGAATGTAAGTTTTCAGGACCATAACTGGAAAATGGTTGACGAAAGGAATTTGCAAAGGGATGCTTCCCTGTTCAAAACCATCTTTACAGTTAAACAACTCGGCCGGAGATGTGATTATTACTTTATGTGCCCTGTTTCAATATTTTATGAACATAAACATACAGACTTTGCTTGCTTTAGTTGATTAGGCAAAGATACCAAGCGAGCAAATAACATGTTTCATGTTTATCTTACCCCAAAGTTGTCATGGTTACAAAGGCCCACCACATTCCTTCAATTGGTCCTCTTATAGGAGAGGAAGGAAATTCTTGTGCATTGAAAATGAAATCCTGTTGGTAAAAAAAAATTTACTGACTGGAAGTAACGCCTGGGTGAAAAAATCTTTAGTTTTAATCATTTCTGTTCAAGTGGAATCCGGTTAACAAAGTTTCCTGCGTCAATTCTGTTTTGCAAGTTAGCGCGTTTTTAATTGCGTGTTTTCTATTTTGTTTGTTTGTTTTTTTTTATAGTTCTCCCAAACGAATAGAATCATTGATAAATAAAATAACGTATAAGTGGGATCAACTTTGCAACCTCACAATACAAAAAAAGCCAAGGTTATTAAATATTAAATGAGCTGCATGTAATCATGAAGTACTTGTTCCAAAAAAAATTCTGATTAAGTGCGAATAAACAATCAAACGACACTTACCATAAGCCACATAACTATTCCAGAGAAGAAAGCTGAAATGAACACAGTCACGATCAAAGGCCACAAGTTTAACACAGCTTTGACTACCATTTTGGCCGTAGCTCCTGGTTCGTCTCCAGCCACGATGAACGAAACTCCAGCAGACTGCACTAAAGGCGCAAAACCATATTCATTGGAGTAATCCAATTGTTCCATCCGTCCGGAAACGGGAAAGCTTAACTCTTTCGCGTCATCTATTGCTTCTCTGACTTGTTTCTCGGTACTTTTCTTAGCTGCAGAGTTGTGCCCCGAGTAAAGGAAATCAATTTCTGTGTAGCCATGTTGTTTACAATCACCACAACAGCTGCGGACGACAAGACGCAGAATTGGCGGGAAAATACCGCTCACGTTGCCGCTCTCACCTTTAGCCATGTATGGGGGGTTCAGCCAATAGTTTGTGTAAAGTTTTTTGTTGCAGTTGCAGGTTTCTAAATCAAACAGGAAATCAATTTCTTTCAATGTATGTCACAGATTTGAGAGATCAGTGCAAGTTAATGAGCTACAATCATTCTCTAATTTGTTGTTTGGTCGTACGTTATTTGGAAAACTAGCCACGGCTTTCTCGTTCGTCTGATTCCTTTAATTGCACTTACACAACACAAAAAGGATTATAAATCGCCTCACCTTGCGAAATGCGAGCAGTTTTGAACAAGATTGAAAAAATTTGCAAATTTTACTTACCCGCAAAAATTATCGAGGAAGGTGTACCGTTGCCTTTTCTGGTAAATGCTCGAACTTCGATGCTGTAAATTGTAAAAGATTCCAAATTACGGAGCTCGAGAGAAAAAGTACTCGGTCCAACTGTGATGTTTTTTTCCCTTTCACTCAGCTCTTCATTAGGGTTTCTGAGTGCTCGATAAGTCACTGTATAACCCAGCAGTATGCCATGAACATAATATGGATTCCCAATCGGTTTCCACGACACCGGGATCGTCGTGGGAGTGAATTTGCTGATGCATTGGACGTTTTCTGGAGGCCTTCCTGGAGCTGTGAAGGGATCACAAAGGTATTAGGTTACAGAACTAATTGGCTACATTCTTTCCCACTCTTCCTTTTAAATTTGCAAGTTTTACCCCAACAAATTATCACATTAATTCAGAAAGTGACCCATTATATTTAATAGTTCATATTGTTAACGTTTCTAAGGTTAACTTATCTCTTTTTCTAGTGCTGACACACTTTTATCTTGAATCCAAAATATGAACGTGAGTTATCTGCTAACTTCCACTTATGGGCTCGTTAGTAGTGGCTTCTATGTCAGCATAGCTATTATCGTGATATTAGCCTATATACCTTGATCTCAAAATACTAAATGCAGGGCTCTCCTGATGTATTTAAGAGAAATGTATTGACTAATGCTGAAAAATCAACAACAAACCAACAAAACAAATTCGACATTACCATCCTCATCAGTCTGTACGAGAACTTCAGGGCTAATGACACCCCAGCCCATTCTGGTGAAACCTAAAACTCTGATGCCATAGTTGGTATACTTCCATAGTCCTGTCAGCTCCACGCTGGTGCTGTTCGGTCCCACTTCGTGATCCTTGTATAGGTCCTGCGACTCGTTCATAGCACGATATAAAACGACATACCCGGATAATACTCCATGGACATAGCCGTGTGCTATTGGATTCCAGTTCACTTTAATGTTCGTAGAACTTGTGTTGAAAACCTTGGTTAAAGTTGGTGGTCTGCTTGGCCCTAAGATACATTTGGACAAAAGATGTCCTTTAAGTTGGACATTCCATCGGATATTAAAATGATTAAAAGCAGAAAAACCTGCACAGTACCAATCTAACCACTTTGATACTATTGAGAATTTAGGTTGAATTAACCCTTTACATTCCAAACTCAATCTCCATACTGTCCTCTGTATACATGTCTGTTGATACTGATAAGGTAAATTCGTTTAACAACCAAACCTTCTTAGGTTGGCGATCATTTCCTTAATTCTCATGATCTTAAGTAATGATTTAGCATATTACTGCAAGGAGAAATTAGATGCTGGTCACTCTTAGCGTTTGAAGGGTTAATTAGGTGGAATCTCATTCTCCTTAACAATTACGAATAGTTTTATCAAGTTGTTGAAAGCACTTACGGTCTTCTTTCGTGGAAACGGTAAAAAACTTTGCTCTGACGCCGTTCCCCTTCGAAGTGTAAGCCAAGATGGTAACATCGTACTCTGTGTACTTGGAGAGGTTCTTGAGCTCCACTGTGGTTGATTCAGCTGACACGTTCCTTGATCTAAGCTTTTCTTGACTTGACCACGATTTCTTATACAGAATTCTGTAGCCAAGAATAACGCCGTTTTGATGATTTACAGGCACTGGTCGCCAATGGATGAATAGGCTTGTTGAAGTAGAGTTATCCTTGGCAACCGTAAAATTTTGCGGAGGCTTAGAAGGCACTGTATCGAGAAAAAGAGACTTAAAACTATTGGAGGTTTAGTATGATCTGATACAATAAAACTCAATACCATTTTTTATTTAAACACGTATCGTCCAAGAGCTATAACTCGTTCAAGATACAAACGTGTGTTAACAACATAAATTGATCAAAAAATTTACAAACACATTAAACAATGAAATACTAAGAAATTGTAAATAATAATGCCCAAAAAAAACGATATAACGATTCCAAAGAATAGCATTATGAATATTGCATTGGAATTTTTTAGACGCGCTGGGTTATGAAATTTGTTGGGAAGACTTTTCCTGATGTTCGCAGCTATATGGCTGAATAATATTTCTTTCACAGTAATTTAAACCTAGATAAAGCTGGCCTATATCCATCTCTCCTGAGAATACAGTTCGTTTTTCTAAAGCTTAAAAGGTTTTTAACATATATATATACACTCAGGACCATCTCCACATAGACTCTTAAAAACTAATACTATAGACTGATCGATTTGTCGTTTCCTAAGATTTTATAGTTGAATGGTACTCAATATACGTTCATAAAGAAAAACCTTTCCGCTGACTGAAACAAATTTAAGGATCGAAGACCTTAGATCTGACATCGTGTAATCGATCGATAACGAAATGTCAGAAGCCTTAGCAAGCTTTGCTAATAAGTTAAAACCGAAGCATCCTTGTCACCTGATCCCAAAGAAGTTTACTTCATCAGCAATTTCCTTTATACCGCGGGAAAACTATTCAACACAACCCGCTTAGCCAGAGAAAAGTTCACGCAAACAGCGTTTTATAAATATTATTTTGATAATTAGGTGGAGGGACGTATATGTCATGGAACATATCAAGACAACAATGTCTTTAATGAATCTGGAAAACTGCGGGTCAGGTTGCTTTGTATTGCGGCACACGGAACATTATAAAAAGGTTAAATAAATTATAAGGCAGCAAGCAATTATAGAGGAACAATCAGGACGGGAATACGGTCGTTTGATCGAACGACTTGAAGGGGAAATAGCCGCGTCGACATCAGGCGTAGAGAACAGCTGCTTACCATCCTCGTCTGTCCTGATCATGTAACCTTTGGACAACAATCCCTCTCCTTTCCTGGTAAAAGCCCCAACCTGGAACACATACGCTCCATATTTCTTAAGACCGTAGATGGTGGCATCGTAGATGTTAGCACCAACTACAACTGTTTTCCATGTGTTAAGGTAACCTGGTTCCACTCCACGATATTCTACTCGGTATCCTAGCAACCGGCCGTGTATATACCGTGGAGGAAGAGGGTCCCAGTGCACTCGAATGCTCGTGGAACTGGTGTAATATATCTGTGAGATGTTTGGAGCCCTGCTGGGAACTGTTGGATTGGAAACGAAAATTAATTGAAAGCTTCAAGCAAGTAATCGGACTAAATGTGCCTATACAGCCGTTTATTGATTAAGGATGTTGTCTTTATTATAAATAATTACCAAACCTGCATTTTTTCCACGATTAATCTTAGAAGAGTTCGCCAAAAAACTTTTATCACACAGGCTACGATGGTAAGAGCTTCGTTCATTGTTATCGATTTCTTGCTTAGATCGGCATTTTCTTGGTGAGTATACTACATTGAGTTATGTTCATTCGACAATCGCCTATTCTTCCCTTGGTTTTTGATAAATGGTAAATCAGCCTTATTGACTAAGACGAGTTTGCCGTGCACTTAACTTCTTAACATATGACTCAGACTTAACAAGCAAAAGATTTGAAGAAAATTCCTTATTCTGATGAAAATGAAGAAAACAAACAGAAAACCTTACCACCCTCGTCTGTCCATACAATAACACCTTGACTGACGACACCAATTCCTATTTCATTGATAGCTGCTATGCTGATTACGTAACAATTGTACATCACCAATCCAGAAAATCGATGGCTTGTGACATTCGGTAAGATTTTTACAACTTCTGTTACATTCGTTGCTACTCTTGTGAGATTCATCTGGTAGCCGAGTAAGACTCCATGAAGGTACTTTTCTGGCAACCTGTCCCATTCAACGAAAAGCTCCGTGGAACTCAAGTTTCGGGCGGTCACATTTGCAGGTGCACCATCTGGAACTAATGTCATATCTTACATTACAACAGGACCAAACATTCCGAAAATCGAGGACACTAAGAATAAAGCACTATTAAAATACTCATCCATTTTTGTTTTCATACTCCAAAACCAAGATTTTTTCAAAAGCGATCTCCCTCAAGATTATTTCGAGCGGTGGTTGTTGACAAAACCTGTGCCATTGTCAGTGCTAAGAATGAGAACAGCAAGATTTCGCTGGTGTGATTGAATAATTAGCATCTTTCCCAAAATGTTTCATCAAAAAATCGGAGGGATAACGTCTTTACAATTTTTATTTACTCACATTTAGAAAGTTCCAGCCTATATCACGACGATTGCAGCGCTTCCCAATGTGCGAAGTTCACTCTGCACTCTGACCGTCAATCATTATAGTTAGGAACCATCCCATTTACCTAACCCTGAGCAATTTACAGTTCGCCCGCCTCTTTTGCATGATAATCCTTAACATTTTGCGGGTTCCGTTTACAGCTTAATGATGGTCATTTTGGGCACGTTGGGCGGAGAGGTACTGTAGGAGTAAAGTGTCGTGACTAAAAACACCAAACAATGACCTCGACCAAATTACTGCTACCAGAGTTCGACCTCGGATTGCTAACAGTAGCTAGGATCATTACAGTGCCGCATACCCATTTATTTCCCCTGATCAAGGTCTATAGCTTTCACACTTTCTGAGCAATATCTTACCATCCTTATCTGTATAAGCGCACACTGGGAGTGAAGCAATCCCATCACCTCTCCTGTTGTATCCCATGACACGCACACAGTACATGGTGTAGATCTTCAAGTCCTTTAGCTCTGCTTTGGTGTTTTCCTCTCCAGATATCACACGACTCCACCTGGTAGCGTCCTCTTGTGTAGTGTAAAGAACACGATAGCCAAGGATATCCCCACCAACAACGGTGCGAGGCCGAATTTTGTTCCAAGTGACCATGATGCTTTGAGAGCTTGTATTTCGAGCTGTGACGTTTTCAGGGGCGTCACTAGGGACTAATAAACAAAGAATGGAAAGAACTGCGTCTGTCGAAACAAATTTATCAGTTTAAGGAGAAGCGATAAGCCCATTTTTGTCCCATGTATTTGCTTCCACTCACTTTGGTTATAACTTTATGAATGTCAAAGGCGTAATTTACATATTCCTCTATTCACGTTAGAATGCACCATTACATCAAAAACTTACCGGCAGCGCTGTTTATGTATTCCGCTTTAGCTTCCATTTTGTGCAGCATTTTCTTAACCGCCAGAGCGTCTTGTAACGCAATAATTCCGTTGTACTGAGCAGCCATGAAATTAAACTGAAGAACGCATTGTACAACAGCCCTGACAGAAACAGAGAGTGAAACTTTAATTTTATCAGAACTTTCTTGTCCTTCAATTGCTCTGTGTATTCGAGACAAAACGTCGTAAGACGTAGCAAGGTTCGGCAACGTCCGGGTCTTGGAGGGCTGCATTTGTTATAATTTTTCCGATTCTTATCTTTCATCCGCTGCAAATGATTCATCGTCGTGCATACATTTATAGCATTAGTTGATAAGAGAATGAGGTGTGACATCACGAAAAGTATGGACATATTTGACTTGAGGCCGCCTTCCACACAAAAGTTTTTCAAAATTGCTGTTTCTAAGACGCCTTATTTCAATTTGTTCAATTTAATTATGGAAACGTGTTCCGTCAATTCAATACCGCTTTGTTCATTGGCAGCCTATTGAAATCTTCAACGCCACCTTAACAGTCACAAACGAAAAAAGGTGTGCTTCAAAGGATTGAAACACAGTAAGAAGCTCCCGATATTTTTAGATTGCATTAACTGCAACAGTAGAGAAGCCGTTTTCAAGGTCAGGTCTTTTGATGTTGTTAAGATTCTATTTCGAATGAATACCTTGGTTCGAAAATGTAGATTGAAAGAAAATTTGGCCAATTAGCGATAAAGCTCACATAGGAAAATAAACTAGGTAACTGGTAGCAGGAGTGCGAAATATAACTAATTCTGATCAGTCCTTTATCTATTTAGCGCTTCTCGCCCTTACCCCGGGGCGTCCGCAAATCCACACGATTTGACTTCAACTGAGTCCAGAGCAGAATTTTCGTCGTAAATACTCAGCACCTGAATGTCATATACATAAATAAACCGTGTTAAAGAACATTAAAATACCAAGTCGAGCGAGGAGCGAGGAAACTGGGAAACAACAAGGAAACAAGTCTCTGAACAAGCAGGAATCATATCGGAATCAAGGAGAAATTACAGGGTATTCCCTTAGTTGAGGAGCAAAACAACGCTAACCGTGATAAAAAGACGCTATGTGGAATGCTGATCACATAAACTGTCAGATTGCACTTAATGAAGAGAAAAGAGAATAAATGTAGGAGAAACTTACATTGTACCTGATCTTGTTGGCTAGCGCTTGGAATATCTTACTATTTTTATTCATGAGATCTGGAGTAAACGTTTCGCCTGGAAATCTGACGGGCGCTATAAAGCTAATATCTAAATAAAAAGAAAAAGAACAATGTAAGAAACACAGTTGTAAGTATACATAATTACATAAAGAAACTAAATGAAGCTGAAGTGACTTTAAAAATTGTGTATTTAAACAATTATTCTAAAAGAAATCAGATAAAGGAGGGGTTTGGATCACACAACTAACTGAAATGATATAGAAAGCTCTCAGCATTTACACCTGGATGGTCCGGGCCGTAGACAGTTTTGTCCTTAACATCAAACATGACCTCATGGTCCAAATTTTAAAAATATTTTCCAATTTTTTGTCCTAGGCTGTCATGGCGTCATGGCTTCTGCCAGCTGTCGATTTTCTAAGTATTCCTAAAGGTCCTTCTCTTATTCATTTCAGCTCATGGATAATCATATCTCCTTTTTCCGAAAATTGTATTGACTTTCTGTTAAAGGACAGTCGAGTAAGGCGGTCTGACTAAAGCTTATTCAAAAATGAGCTTTCGGTTCAATTCAAAATAATATCGACTACGACTCTGAGGAAATTCATGCTAACTGGGTTTGCTCGACATGCAAACGAATAGTTTATTTCGACCTCAAACGACCTTGTCTTTTTTTTCTTCTTTTTTTTTTTGCAGACATCTCACCGTGAACAACACTGCCCTTGTGTGGAAAAGCTTATGGGGGTCCTTCAATTCAAGCAAACAACAACCGGCGGCTAAAGCTGGTCGAAGTGTGTTCCCTGAAATTCTTGCAGAACTTCTTCCAGTACATTACACTTCCTTCAAAATTCATATGGAAATTGCAGACGAGATTGAAGTAAATATGTTATTTTGTCGGTTCCTACCCCCCACGAGATGTCTTTTAGACATCACACCAGAAAAGGATAGAGTTTGATAACAAAACACTGCGACCAAAATACGAGTGCGTGCAACACATAGCGGGGTGCGAGAGTGGAGATGACATGTCTGTCGGGAATTAGATTTGCAATATAGTAATACAGAAATAAATAATTCAATGATGTCTCTCTTGAAATTTTGAATTCTGTTCTGGCCGCCACGAGAAAGCTAACAAGGAAAAGGAACGTCCCAATCCTCTCTCGGCCACATCAGCTTTTTTGGTTTTGTCTGTACCAATCATATCACAGGAAATGGTATAGACAAAAGTTTCTATGGCCTAGACTACTGGCCCCGGTTTTTCGAAGGTAGGATAACGCTATCCACCGGATAAAACTTTATACGGTGGATAATGCTATACGTTTTCCTGTCACTCATCCACTGGATAACAATTTATCCGTTGGATAGCGTTCTCCGACATTTATACAACTGGGACCTGGACGTTATATCAGATAACTATCGATCGGCAAAACATCATTCATTAGGCTTCAGCTTTTAACCTTTAACCTTTAACCACATACCGAGACTTGAATAGTTCTTTGATCAGCAAGAATGAAAATGATGAACTTTAGCTTTCAGCGTTTTTTTACCCACGAAAATAAGACTGCCCATTTTTATATCAAGGATAAGGTAAGCGAACTACCTGTCTTTTGGTCGTGGTTCCAAATTTGTTGACGCTACCTCCAAAATGCTATCACTATTCATTTGTATTGCAGAAAGTTGAAGGAAATGACGCAATTAAAAAAAGAGATTAATCTTACCAGGACACCTTTTTGTGTTGCAATCACGACTCTCTCTTGCCGGTCCCAAAAGCGAGCAACCTTTTCCCTCGTATTCTGGTGCAGGGTTGTTGCATTGACGAGCCCTGACGCTCTCGCCACCACCACAAGATCGAGAGCACGATGAGAAGTCAGACCACTCCCCGTAACCTCCATCCACAGGGCAGGGTTTTGTGTTACAAGGCACCACCTCCCTTGGGGGTCCTATACGTGTACAATCCAGTCCACCTGCCTCAGGTCTAGGATTTGTGCAGTTGCGTGTCCGAAAATGCGTCCCACCTGCACAAGATTTTGTACATGGGCTGAAAACAGACCAATGTGTGTAACCTCCGCTGACTGGACATACCTCAATGTTGCACGGCTGGTTTTCAATTGATGGTCCAAGGTGAGAACAATTTCTTCCTTCGCCAACAGGGAAAGGATTATCACATTTCCTCGTTCTTGTTTTTTTTCCCACACCGCAACTTTTTGTGCAAAGACTGAATACACTCCAGTTGCTATAGTTACCATCAACAGGACACACCTTAACAAAGCAGGACAGCTGTTCATTCGTGGGCCCAAACATTGTGCAGTCTTTACCTCCGTACTGAGGAGCTGGTTGAGTGCATGTTCTCGTCCTGGTCTTTGTTCCTGTTCCACAGCTTGTGGAACATTCGCTATAATCTGACCATCCACTGTAACGGCCATGAATGGGACAAGGATTTTCACTACAATCTACTTCCTCTAGCTCAGGACCTAAAGCTGAACAGTTGAGTCCGCCGTATCGAGGACTAGGGTGAGTGCAAGTTCTAGTTCTGTATTGTTTACCACCTCCGCATGTAAATGTGCAGGAGCTGAATTCCGACCATGCGGAGTAGTTACCGTGGATAGGACAATCTCTGAGAAAGCAATCTTCCGAATCGATCGTGGAACCTTGACATAAGCTGCCTCCGTGTTTTGGCGGAGGATTCGTGCAGGATCTGTTCCTCGTTTTTACACCCAGTCCACATGTGACCGTACAAGGACTAAATGTAGACCACTCAGTGTATTTTCCATCCACTGAAAACAAAATAACAGATAGGCTACTGCTGGAAAATGTGATTCTCAAGGCCTAGTGGACGAGTCCAGGGAGAGGGCTCGGGGTTACAGAGCCTCCATTCACGTCAGAGCTGTTTTTTTCTTTCAATTCTTGTTGGACAGCAGAAATTCTTGCAATGCAGTATCGTATGTTAGCACTGGATCTAACGTTTTTAAAAAATCACTCATCTTGAAATACTTCTTAGTTTAAGACTCGTTGTTAGAATAGGAGTAATGCTCATTTTATTCACATATGTGACCAGGCCCAACTCACATTTATCCTTAACTTTCCCTATAATACCCTCAGAAACCAAAAAGAGGTCGTTCCTTTTGTTAACATAAACACACAACACACTAAAAAAACAAATACACAAACACAAATTTGTCTTCAGTGACCGATTTGAAATGATAGAGTGTTGCATATTACCTGCCTTGGACTCCATGATATAACAAACATCCTGTTTTGATAAAACGCCATTCCAGATAGCAAGTTCATCTATGGTCATCTTGATGCTATTTAACCGAGCATTGCTCGCCCCAAGTATTAACATATTATTTGGCGGAACTGACGAATACCTATAACTAGCCCCAACATTATATTTCTCGTATGACACGCTACTACAGTTGAGGAGAACACCAATTTTGTTCTCTATTTTATTCCACGAAAGAGCCACGAAAATCCAGCTCGCGTAGGTCCAGTTTACTTGTACGTGTCGCTGGGTTGCACGACCATTTACATAAACACCAAAATAGTCACCGTCGATTTGCATCGTTGTTCCAACAGCTTGCGTGGCAGAACCTATCTGCATAACAAATCGTTTGTTCTGACGCTCGTCAACTCGAAGCCAGAAAGTTGCCGTAAACCCTGTTTTACAAGCTTCCGGATTACTTATACAGTGAAAAGAGAAATTTCCTAGGTCAGCCCAGCTTCCTAGAAACCCATCCAGTTGAAGTCCGTTCTTGCTGTAAGCCTGCACGCTTGTGGTACCCCTTTGGTCTAGAATTCCAGGATCTTTGAGTGTGTTGAACGGCCAATAATAGCTCGCCTTCTGGTACCATGGGTCATCACCTTTGTTTATGGGCAAAGAAATTAATACTGTATACATAACTGATAATGTACCTTACAAACATATTTCTAATACTGAAATAATGATTACAATATAAATAGTAATGTTAATGATAATAACCATAATAAAAAGACAATAACGACAACGATAATGATGTTGAATGATTTTCCGAAACGCGACAGTCATTCCACCGAAATATAGTGATTAAATGATGAAAGGAAACTCATATAGGAGAATGCTGTGTTGAAATGCAATTTTACGATGCGTGGGAAACATTGGCGACTTTGTTAAACTCGCTGAGCATTCCAGGGTTATGCAGGGTGGAAAAGAATGCAGATTGTTGCAAATATCTTTTTCAGTTTTTAGACGACAAACGATCAGCAATATCATTCGACATAATTAAACGAGCCGTATGCTTCATCAAACTGTTACCATTTCTGTTCTGATCTCGATGGTAAGTAGTGACTATGAAATCGTTTCGACAGCCTGATTGGAGTCGGGGCTTGAATTTGTGTTTATCTTACTTTATGATTTGCTTTTATATTATCTCATCTTTATTGATTGGTAAAGAATAAAATGTAAAAAACTCTTCGTGAAAATTTTCGTAATAGTTTAGATACCAATCTACTAGTAAACGACATTGCTAGTGTTCAGTTAGCTTAATAATTACATGCATTGAAAGATAGCCTCTGTCTACGTTGTAAATTATGAATACATATCTCGCCGGCCCACAGGTATTCTGACTTGCTCGATGCAAATCAAATAAGTTGTAGAAGATAGCACAAGCAAAGTGCCTAGATATTTTCTATATTCATTGGATTTGTTTTAAATTGGCCTTTTTATTTCACATGCTATAATCAGTTTAAGTTATGGAAGCAAATGTTTTCTTCTGACGCCAGATTTGTTCTAGGGACTAAATCTTCCATAAAACTATGCCTGTAAGCTAAATTACTCAGGTTTACATTTGCAAATAATGATCAGGAATCGTAATAACTGCTAACCACCACGAACATGATTATGATTCGCAGTTTCTTAGGGTACTACAGCGTGGGCGGTAAACTTTCGTCAGATAGATTTCGGAAAGCAAAACTGAATTTCTAAATAAGTAAAATCCATTCAAAGACTAAGCAAAACAGTATGAATCTAGATGATTTACAGTATGCAATATCTTCACAGTGAGTGCGTAAGTTATAACATTCGCGACTGACACGGCAGTTATTTCATGGGAATTTGCCCTTCTGCCTTTTCAGATTGTATAGTATTAATACCAATTTCGATTTCCTATCTAGTTTTTCTTATTGACATGATTCGATACGAAATATTATTTTGAAAATTTGGTTCGTTCCCTAACCATGAACGAGTTATTTTTAATCTTGTGGTTTTCCAAGATGACAGGTTGTTCGCGGGTCTATTATGTTGAGCTCAACTGGAATCCAATTGTTCGGACATGCAAACGAAATCGCGAAAAATCATGAAAAGAAAAGAAGACAAAAAAAATAACTGTGTATTTTTTTCAGTGTTAATGCTAAGATCTTGAAAGAAAGACGAAGACTAATTTTAGCGAAAGTTCGAAACCCCTAAAAAAGTATTTTGATAGCTGTAGCTCGTCACCTGTAGTGATATTTCCAACGAAACTGAATGATTCATCGCCGATGCACAGATGCAAACGACATAAGGATTCATAGAGAGTAAAGTATAGTTATAATGAAGATTTATTTGCGTGTTTCAATTCACAGCTCTGAAATGGTAAAAAGCAGTCGGATTACATTGTCTTAGCCCTAACTGTCAATTTAGTCCATTGTTTTCGATCTACATTGTAAGGTTGGATATGGCGATATATTTTACAGCTCCGTGGTGAAATAATCCGTGACAATGCTAGTTAATTAAGAAAATGCGTTACATGGTGTTTGAAATTTACTTTAAATAAACCCTTGCACAATTATCGATGTGGCAGATATGACGGTTTTGCGTAGTGAAACACTTTAATGACTACCTTAGAAATATCCCTATTTACAAGTATATAGTCTCTAGGTCAATGGTAGTGATATTACACACGAAATTTTCAAAGAATCTCTCTTACCAGCTACAGTAAGCCCATTTGCAAGATGAAGGCACTGAAATTAAAAATAAAAAGAATGGAAAATGAGAGGAGGAAGACGCATTTTAAAATCCTAAAGTTGATCATTAGATATCTCACCTGCTGTAGTATTAAAACAGTTACGGGGCTACAAGCCTTTCCAAAAAATATCTCCATCGTGGAGTTGCAAGCTCCGAATGGGTTTCACTTAACTTTGGTTACGAGTCTTTGATCGATCCATTTTGCATTTGTTGTAGACGACAGTCTGTAGAGTTTATCATGACAATCAGGCGCTGCTGTAAAGTCTTCAAGCCAAGGTCGTTCATTCGTTATGTAATTGTGTCTTTTAACTCAGGGGCTGTATTTAAAGTAAAAATGAAACATTGTTAATAATTGATAATTGGTGGATAATTACAGCGCCGCTCGGTAATACTTTAAGCTTTTCCTTTTGTCAATGAATGCAAAAGGGACTTAGAGTGGTTAGAGTGTAAAATCAACACGCTGTTGTATTATTGGGCGAGCAAAGTTAAGCACTTGAGGAAAACAATTTCTTGGTCATCGAGTTTTACCATCACACAATTAAGACTGTCTCTCCAAAAATTGCTCGTGTGGAGTGAATGCTTTAGTCGGTAGTACAATAAGGTTTATTTAACCACAAGATGTCCGCAAAATTCATCTCCAGCTTCGCTAGAAGTGAGGATGTCTGCAAACTCTTTTTAAACTGCATAAGATGTGAAGATCACTTTAGAACACATGCTACGAGCTTAATGAAACAAAATTAAAACGCGACCAGGTATCTTAATCCAGTTATGTTGCTGGATCAATAAGAGAAGGGAGAAGGGTAACATTCAGTAATAAGCTTCCTAATTAAGAAGCTCTTGAACTAAGTGGCTTATATGAAAATTTAGAAAACGAAACATACGCTGCGTATTGTACTTAGCATTTTCCCTTACTTTTGTTTCGACAAATGTACGGTTGATTGAATATTCAAATTAATTTTTTTTTTCCATTGCCAGTCTTTGGAGTCGAAAACACTTTGAGAAAATTTGAGATGCCACAATACCAAAAGCAACTTAAATTAAAAATGAAATTTTAGTTCTGTAATTTAGGTGATCGCTCATGGACTATTGTGGTACCTTGGAGTTTCCTGTCATAAATAGCGGAAAAATAAAAAGTCTTCGCCCAAGGTAAGAACTGTAATAGGCGGCCACCTTTCAAGCCATGCAATTGCTATTCGTGGCTAATAAGTTCAAAAAAAAACCGGCGGACAATGCTCCTAAACTGTGTTGCTAAATGAAAATGCCCATGCAAATGCTTTGATTTTCTCCTTATCTTGAGTGATCCCTATTTTAACAACACGTTGCGTGAGTCTCGCCACTGCCAGCCCGCTGAAAATCTCTTTAATCAGTTGAGGCCTGATTTCAGTTACAGATTATCTTTTAATTTACCCCCTGCGATACCTGAATTCAAGAATTTTATAGCTATTACGCCGAATCTGCATCTCCTACATGAAATTCACGATTTTGCCTCTGCTTATTTTGGGAAGAGTCTGCAACGAAGGCGAAAGCCAACCACGGAACTTCCCCTCAGTCTTAATTCTTTTCATTGTAAGTTAAAATGAAGACAGAAGTGAATACGTTTTTTCAAACTTTGAAAAAAAATTATGTGCAAGAGTCTCAAAAAATGATGACTGACGCTACGGGATTTGTGGTTTCTACAAATTCTTGTTATCAGTAGGACTATGTATCGGCGCCTTACTGATTTGAGGAATAGTCATACATCATCCCATAAATCCGTGCAAAATTGGATTAATGTTTTTTCAATTTTCGCTTTTCTTAACAGGATTATTCTTCAAATACATAAATAATCTGCAGCTCTCAGTCTTTTAGAAAATATGTCGGTATTGCGGTTTTCCGGCACTTTAGCTGGATGAAAACTGAGATTTTTTAGTGTTCGTGAGGTATATTCTTGCATTGATAGAGAAATATTTTGGCACCACCTGTTACATGAATGTACAAAGCTGTCAAGCAGTAGATCGTCAGTTTGCACCCTATATGATAGATAACACGATAGTCTTTTGAAGGGTGTTTTAAATCATTTTAATCATTGAAAAATGTATTTATTCATTAAAGTTTCACAAACTGTACTTCATAAAAATATTGCTCATTGACTCTCATTTGAATGGAAACACTGAAGTGTCTCATACGCAGACCTAAAATTTACACCATAGTGTGCAGTATAGGAAACAGTGCCTCGTATCCAGTAGGGTCACATCCGCAGATCCTAAGTTTTAAGCAGCTTTCATAACGATGGCTCCACTCGATCCGGGTTTAATGAGCACCAAAGAAAATTTTAGGAATACCTCAAACTTTATCATACTCAAGCTTTGGTGGTCAATATAAAAAGAAACGTCTATTAGTGAGAGCATTACATGGGCAATGTGTCACACACCAAGACAAATAGGGCATTTTGTTTTTTTCAGTAACAAAAAGTCAAAAACGCGAAATCTTGCATCGTTAGCTAATTAGACCACAAGGGATAGTAATTTTAAAACAAATGTCCATTAAGGAAAACATCAAAATCAAAAAACCCCTCGATCAATATCAGACTTACAGCTCAAACCAACCAGACACCGCTTATTGATATGTTTTCTTTCCGCAAAAAAAATATGTCAGATTAAGGAAGAGTTTCTTCATGGAAGTGGGTTATTTTAGGAAAATAGGACAAAAACTTAGGAAAGCCTTCGTAATTAGTGAAACGACAAGTTCCACAGTTTTTTTGCTTGTGTGAGACAAAAGAATGAAATAAAAAAACCCAAAACAAGGTTAATCAAAGCTTTCAGCCAAAATGTTCACTTAAATTTACTCAACCCTTGAATAATAAATGCACCAGGAAGAAAGACCTGTTAACTAAAACAACTAGGCTTGGCAAGGGATTCGCATTCTGGTTAAGTTTCCTTAGGAAGCAAAAAATCACCACCTTTAAGGATCTTCTCCTCTCTTACTGGACCACTCAGCCCCAAAACTCGTCCGATCCTCTTTCTATGTTTCTCTCTTTATTTCGCTGAAAAGAATAGAAGACTTCTTCAGAGAAAGCTATGGGAGGCACGAGTTTGAATCTGGTTGACGCCTGAATATTTCCAGGCTCCTTATTGCTCTTTCCAAAATTTCAGCTCATTTTCCCTTGCGCAGAATACATAGAATTGAAAAGATGTTTTTTCGTCAGCCTCAACCACATAAATATTAATACAACCGTGACCAGTACTAAAAAAGGCGTTAATAAACATCAGCCTCCTTACACCAAAAGATTCCGCAAGCTGTAGGCGTGGTGGACTTTATATCTCGCTGCTAATTTCTGAAAAGATTACAGTGGCCGAGCTTACTGGCCGATCTGAATCCTCTAATTGCATCGCTTTACATTACATTTTGTGCTGCCTCCATTCCGCCCATTTCCGTTTGCAAATTGTGTAAAGGGACAAATTTGGCTGAGCAAATGTTTGAGAGGACATCTAATTGGTTCTCCAAAACTTCCATTTCTCTTTCCACTTTAGGCATCAATTTTTTTAAAAGGCAAGGATACCTCGTTGTTCCCTAGTGAACGTTTATTTGATAAACTTTTTCGCGCTTCACATTGCTAACAAATGATTTTGAAAGAAGAAAGTTGAAAACAAATTAATATTGAATGACCGGTAAAGTGACAAAAAGCATTCTTTGGTATAAGAAGTTTGTTTTAAGATTAAATGAAAAACCAAACCAAAACATCTTTTCAAAGATTTTTTTTTTCTAAAAAAAATGAATTGGTGACATTGCAAGCAGTTTTTCCCATTTCAATCGAGACCAAAAAATGTGTAGTGAAACGGCAGACTTTTGAAAAAATGGCAATGCGTGCATGCCGAGTTATCGAAGTGTAAATTGGTGCATTGCATCAGTTAAAGGTAACAGTGAAATAAAAGATCTGAAAAACTTTAAAACATCGTTGTTATCATTAAAGGAGAATAACATCAGGTTTCCATAAATACTTAGTGTGCGTCGAAGGATGTTTACAAGAATAATAATGAGGAAACATATGTTTTTTGAAGAAAATACCCATAAAATATACATATATTTCGAAAGAGTTACGCATTTGTATAATCACTTTGGCGTTCTTTTAATAAACAGTTGAATTTCAACTCGAAGTGCACTTCACAATTTCGAAACGACTGTCGTTTATTTGTAGCCATTCAAAGAGTTTTGTCTTAATTTAGATTCTATCGTGAATAAAAACCAGGCAACTCTGCATCTTGTGGTCTAAACTACAGAGCCAACAACGGGCATTTGCAAATAAATATAACAATCCATAATTGAAACCTCTTTGAAAATAACAGGTGATTTTTAAAAATGCTCAGCATGCAAAAAATATTTTACCACGACGGTAAAAGAAAAGAAAATTAAAAATCTTGACGCCTCGTGCTGAAAGCGTTGCTTTTGTGAGAGACAATCTCCTCCAACTTTGCTTTAAACTGCTGAATGCTTTGGCTGCATTGTCCTTCGTCCATTTGAGCAGGTTCTCATCCAACCTCACAGAAGGATATGTTTCAATTTTGAAAAAAAAAAACAGCAGGGCCACCATAGCTGAGGCACGTTTTATCCTTCGAATGTTCAAAACTCGTTTCCTTTTGCATTTCCCCTCAATCTTTTATCATAATGTAGTACTATTTGCAGAAAGGGAGACAGAATAAAAACTCTTTATATTTGGCGTTACTTACCTCCTTTGGCTAAAAATCTATCAAATTACGCACCTCTGTTTCATAGTGGGCAATACTTAAATCCGGCGGTCAGATGAGTTAAATTATATTTGGAGAACGTTAGTACATACTCATGTACTCAAAAAAATATGTCAAAGGACTTGAGAAAAAAAGGTCTTGTTCATCGGATGAGGTTCAGGACAACGACAAGCAAACGTGGCGGAACACGATTTTGTACATTAGTATTCCGCGACCGAACTGACGTCATAATAGCTGAACATTTGAATTATAGTTTAACTAATGTTCATAGCAAATTCAATACCTTACAACAAACCTCCTGAGCAGGTCAATTATTTATTGTTACCACTGCTGACTGTGAGGTGGGTAATCACAATAATACTCGTATCGAAAGGAAAACTTCGATAGAGTGAAGTGTTGCTATACGATGTACATAGATCTTTGCTGTAAATCTCCTGTTTGCTGTTTCAAAAGAAACTTCACTTTTGTATGGAAACTTAATTTTTTTCTCCTGAATCGCCATAAACGTATTTTTTCTGCAATTATTTTGAAAATATCAAGTTTGCGCGTGAAAAGGAAGGGCTTAAGCACGTAGGTTTACCCATATGCGGCTAGTCTGATAAAGTGAAAACAGAATCTCGGTCAGTCTCACTTTGACGAATGCTCTAAGCTAAATAGATAATTTCTTTTTAAACATATTCAATTTCAAGTTTCTTTTAATAATTTTGAGGAAAAATGACCATCATCTCTAAAAACTTCCTATTGCAATATTTAATTTTACTTTTCTTTAATTAAAATAAGTAGTCAATTTTATCTTTACAGATAGAGTAAATGCATTTGATCAAGGAAGCTTCTACAACAACAACATTTGATTCGCTGTTTTCAAGATGTTTGCCAAATGTCTCTGAACACCTTTCCAATGCATGTTTGACTTTTTCTAATGAAAATGTTCTATGATGGCGTAAGTTCCGATTCCTTGATCAACCGAGTGATCGTTCACCACGAAAACAAAGCTTTGCACTAAACTGTCTTATCCATTCACATACTGAAATAATTTTTTTGTCTCAGAATATCTTAATCTAGAATCTTAATACATATTCATCACAGTTATTGTAATTGTAACGGTATCTGCTGTCGAGGAAGTAGAATTTTACAGTTTTGAAAATTGTTACTGTGAGTCTGTAAATAACCTCAAATTTACTTTACATAAGAAAACATAATGACATTTTCTTCTATTGTTATAAAAAACCTTATCTCTCGACAAATATGGTCGGTTTTGCAATTACGTCTCTATAAACTTTAAACTCGACTAAAAAATGAGTTTTAAATTTCCAGGTGGCTCCGGTTGAAGTTTAGTGCGCGAATTCAAGAATTCATATCTGCTTTCAGCGGAAAATTTAAGTAGACGATGCCCAGTTTACGGGGTTGAACGGAAATCGAAAGAGCTATCACTACTGCAACATCAAAGTTCATATTACTTACCGTGCGTTATCCTGTCGAAAATATAGAATTCGCAGCAGCCCGAAAACCCGTTTACTTCTCACATGGAATTTTGTATACAACAACTAACTTGCACTTTTCCGATGCTCAGCAATTCCTTTTCCTTTCTGCGAGTTTGTCAAGTTGTGTGTTCTTGTTTTTTTAGTCTTAGTCGAGGAACTGGGTCCTCTTAGAGGTTTACGCCCTTTTTGAAGCCATATTCCGTGCCTAGCAAAAATATTCCTGACCTTTCCTCAATTTAAACGTCAACCCTATCAGCAAAGATCTTTCCTTCGCCAATCATTATACTAACTTAACTCACAGGTTGATAAAATTAATCTAATGAATAGTAAATTTTTTGTAATCAAGCACAATGACACCTTTTGGAACATTTTGCTGTACAGTCTTGTTATGAAGTCTTTCATGAAACTATTTCCTGCCTTTGCAAGATGTTTACAGGTGTGTGATCGCCAAATTATTTATAACGACCCTGTAGAAGGCTGAAGTGTAGTAATTATCCCTGGTGTAACAAAAACATTTTAGCGTAATAACATTTGGTCCTAAATGTAATAAAATCCAAAATGCACTAACATTTTGTGCTAAATGTAATAATCATCCAATGCCATCGTTCATCTTCGCCAGTGCATTGTTTTCAAAGCAGACATTGACATTCAAATGTAAAATTGACAGTTGTCGCACCATAGAATCTTCTGATTAAATGTAATCAGCGTCTTTTCTTGCTAGAGACGTAAGTCGAGAAGCATTGGCTGCAAAACCTTATAGTTATGTGCGATTGGTATCAAATGACAGCTTTCAAATCAATAAGTACGCTGACCAATACCTCACCATATATCGCTGGCTTAGACTCGTAAGTGGAATAGATTCTGGGCAATTGTAATGACGTTATACTTGCGCAATCAGTGATGGAGTTAACAGCTAATAAAGCAAATCATAAACTTAAAAAAAGATGTCCGCTGACTTGTACGTCGGTCAAACTGCAAGCTCGCATATAGAGCCTTGTCTTTCCTTGCTTGAATAGCCCTTATTGGCTTGTACATTTTGTTTTCTTAGAGCGGATCCCATGACGGTACTCTAGAGAGTTATTGCTTTCAAAAATATAAACTTCCTTAACCCTTTCCCTCCCAGAAGTGATTAACATATTACTTCTCCCCATACGTCCATACATTATTCATCAAATAGGTAAGGAGAGAACTTAAACTTATCTGGTAGAAATTGTTATCGTGAGCTAACACCAAATTATCGTAACAGATATTGGGAGTTAAAGGGTCAAGGATGTTGAGGATGTCTTGTCGTTCTTGCGCCTAAGCATCCTATATGGCCTTTATTCTCAATTGAGAACTCTTTTGTCGGTATCCATACCTAAAAACACTTCAAGTTTCTTTTTTTTTTCTTTTTTTGTCAGATTTCTGTCTAGGTGGCTAAACTCACGTCACACAAGTGACCGAAACAGTCGCAATGTTTTTTTTTTTGTGGAGTTATACCTGGACTATGCTATGCAACCAACGGGAATGGAAATGTGCCATTCATAAAGACATCACCGAATACAGACTATATATATATTTTCATCTTTAATTCCAAAATTTACGCTGTTGCTGTGTAAGTTAAGTTTGCACTGAGGCTGCACTCTCGTTCCCAGTTCACTTCTGCCCAAATACTCTAGAACCTGGGTTAAAGTACCAACCAACAAAAGTTACATTGAGCATTTTCTTTTCATTGAGCAAGGTAGTACTGTCTTGTATCTAAATTGCATATTCCCAGGAAACAATTGAGAAACCCATTTTTTTCAGTATTATATTTTTAAGTACAAAAATTTCCTCGAACTAGTCCAATACTTTACGCCTCGCCATAAAAACAATCCAAAAGTCAAAAAGATTTACATAGCCTCAACGTCAGCAAAATAAGGAATATTATTCCAATTTCATCAAGCACAGTTTTTCCTTAAATTCGCTTCCTTTAATCCTGGCCAGCAGAAGTTAGTATCCAAAAAACTTTTGAAATTTAAAAGGAATTGAAGTTCATGTCCTCGGATAACCTCGAAAAAGGAGCTTTCACACGTGCGGTGATTTAGCGCAAGGTCTGTTGAATTCATTTCCAGCTTCGTGGATCCATTTGTTTGATACTGCAACAAAACAAAACCGAAACAGTCTTGAAACAGCTCTGGATGCTTCAATGGCGCACGTCTACAATTTTTTGAAATATTCCTCAAATATTTTAAGCAGAAAAACTTGGCCATTTTGATTTAAAGCAAGAGATGAGAGAGAGCAGAAAGAAGAAAGAAGAAACAGCTCTTATTTTAATCAAACTGGTAAAGAAAAAAGTTTACAATTAACTGCAGTAATCAGCACAGGTAGTTACGATGATTATTTATGTAGAGTTACATGGAACCTTACCCCATTTCCAGCCTTTTAAGACCGGGCAGCCGGCGTGACGTGTTCGAAAATCTCCCTCGCCTGATTGCAATAAATTGTGCCAAAATACCGCGTCACCCTGTATACACAAAAAAAGGTAAAGCTGAAACGTGACGAAAAGTTTGGCAGCTAATGATAACAAAAAAACAAAAACAAAATGAAACAACCAAAAAAAGGAAAACGAGAAAGAGAGAGAAAAAACTGATTTGACAAAATTTATGTATCTGGTAGGGTACAGAAGGCCAAATCCTCTTGTTAACAGATTATCGGCCGATAGCCAATCATATGTGAGCCTTTTGAACCCAACGCAGAGATCAAACTCTCTGGCTTGATCTGCGGCGCGCTAACATCATTTTCTTTGTTTATTTACTTTCGCCTTGATTTTTTTTTTTTTTTACTCACGCGACGGACTTCGCCGAAAAGGAGGGACGATCGTAATCTAAGTTTCATGCAATTGAGATTTCATGGATCACCTTCAAATTATCCAACTTTGAGCATTAGCGGAATTCTCGCATAATCAACATAAAAACTGAGCAATACTTCTTGTAAGAACACGTTTTAAATTCAAAAATTTATTCGTACCTTGCTGGGCATAACCCTGGCTCCAACATAGGGGAAGACAGTTGCCCCTCCAGCCTCCACGTCGCTCATCTGAAAATGTAATTCAAGGGTAAAAGAGTTCAAAGTCGATTAATAGCAAACTGTGTTTAAAACTTTTGGGCAACATTGTCGTGTTAATAAACAGAGATCTATCGATCCAAGGAAGGATAATTGTTACTTTCAACATTGGCGATTGATCATAAACAGCTCACACAAGTAAGACGGACTAGAGTTTTGTTGCTTATCAAACTAAGGAACATAACAACACATCATCAACAATAACAATACCAAAAACACCCAAATTGATTTATGACCAGGCGTTCGTTTTTCGGGGGAGAGCAAGGGTATGGCAGCGCAAAAGTCCGCTCGCTGAATCTTACGCTGCTCCGCTATCGCCCCTCTTCAAAAAAGAACAAAAAAGAACGCCTAGTCGCACGTTACAACTCAAAAAAACTCTCCAATATCTCCTGTTTTAGAAAATGTCGTTTGTCTTCCCCCAAACCGACAATTTGCTTCTTATTACCCCCCTTAAAAAGTGAATTATGCTCTAGAAACCTCTTAATTTCAATCTCTGTTAATAAAAAGTGTGTATAATAATTTACTTATTGTCGTGTTTTAAGATCCAAAAAGGTAACTTAAAAACACTTCCTTCCAATGTGCTAAACATTTTGACTACTGACGCCGGAACATTCGCCGCTGTTTGGAAAACAGCGGCGAATATTCTGGTTGTACACTCGCCGGATGGCGGGAACTACAACGCGCAGTTCAAAACCAGATACTGCTCTAGTGATCGCAAATTAAGCCAGTATTTCTATAATTTCTTATTGTTGAGGCGACTACACTTAAGAGCAAAGCGAAAAAAGCAACGCCTGGAGGCCAATTTTTTTGCACATTGAGGCAATTGTTGAAAGGTCGCTCAGGGTACTTTAGAATCTCAAAAAGGACAGGTGAAAATGAGGTGACTGCTGAGAGGAAGTTTGGAATAACAACTTTGGTTCCTTCCAAAACTAAAAACTATTTCAGTGTAATCGACAGATCTCAGCCAACGCCCTGATGTCCCTTTCTGTTCCTTCAAGTACAGTTCACTTCTTAGACTCAGGCTCATCTCAGAAAATTTGTGGAAAGTAACTGAAATATAACCAAGTGAAAGGTTTGCAGAATTAAACCACTTACATAAAGAAGAACTGTTGCTATCCTGTTTCCTGTCCCAAGTTGACCCAATGTGGAATTCTTAAGATCCTGTAGAAAGCAAAAGGTATTTTAGGATTAGGCATTAGCCTTAGAGAGAGTAAATGAAACTACAAGAGTCGAAAAGAGCGAGAGACTTCAATGCAACATTTTTACCCTTGAGAAGTCAAAGTGGGGGTCGTAATGCCCTGCTAATCCATAATTTTGCACCTGCAAAACAAAATGAGTTGAAAATGTTCACTTTGGCGCACTTTGGCGGGAAAAAAATATAGCTCCCGGTCGAGAGCTTATCCTGGAGTCAGTAGCATAAATTTACTCAAATGACTGCCCTTCCTCACTGCCAGGTTAATAAATCGTTCCATTTAATTTTCGCAATTATTTCCCTTGTTTCCGATTAATCTCGTACCAAGATCCTACCGCGTAACTATAACTGATATATAGGGTCCTCGCAATCGCTTGGCCATGGAAGGTCTGGCTACGAGACTAGTTATCGATATATTTGAACAAATCTTCCGTTTGCATAACATTTCTCTCTTACTTACTGCATCTTGTTGCCACTTTAGAAAAAGAACCCAAATAAATGTAAAACAATTTAATTGATAGAGGCATTAAATGTACTCCTTCTAACGTAACGTACGATGTAAAATGTGAAAAACCTGGAAATCCTCGGCTGTTTGTAAGTTGAGTCCAGTCAACGCTGTCATTCGTCGGTTGACGCGGTCGATAAGCGGATCGTGTTTTCCGTTTAACCAGCAACTGGAAATGATATCAATTTAAAGGTGAGAATGAAATACCAAACTCGACTAACAGATGAAAACAACGACTTACACCCAGCATAAGATGCTTTTAAGACGTTTATAAGACAAGAAATGAACAGAAGGTATTTTTTTTCCAATTGATCGAAACTGAATAACAGCGACTAACGAACCGTACCCAATACGATAATGCAAAACTGACCACTCAGTTTCCAACTACCAGGCTTCACTCATCTCTTGATGCAAATAATCATTCTTTTTATATCAGATCTTGCTCAAAGCTACTAATACAATAGTGTGTCACCTCCGACTCCACGCAAAAACTCGCATTAGGAGAATGGAATCAAATTCGATAACAGGGTTTTGTTGACCGACTTAAATTGACTGGAGGGCGAATTCTTAAAAATGTCGACCGCACCATCAAAGTTCGACAAAAGGTATTTTATAATTTGACATTTACAGTTACCGTATGTTTAAAAATGGTATTTCCTTGTGGAAATGTACCCAACATGATTGTGGAAGACAGAAATGTAAGAACATGTATCGTAAAGGATACTTACTTTTTGCTTATCCTGTAATGAGCATACTCTAATTTCCCCGTTATTGGATTATGAACAGTCGCCCTGTTTAACTGAGGAGCATAGAAAAAATGATCAGCAAAAGAAAGATTAAAAAAGTGCATCGCTTTCCTAAATTGTCCTTGAAATGAAAAACATTTAGTTTTTGTGTTTCGTGTTCCTAGCAGATTTAGTATGCCGGCAGTAATTTTTCACTTTCAGTAGTAATTTGCCAGCTTTTACACGCAAACTTTGTTAGGTTCACATTTTGACAATTTTAACTTTGACGTCCATATTTCTCTCGATCTTTTCTGAAAGGAACTTGAATGGGACATACAATTCGAAAGAGAAATTAGATAAGCAAGTAAACAAACGCAAATAGTTTGTGTCATGAAAATGATTTTGAAATGGAAAAAAAAATGGAACTATTACCATGACTAATTCGTACTCGAGTGAGAGTAAGGATGATCTTTTTATCTTCTGTTTATCTCTCTTTTTCTTTTTTTCTTAATTATTTCAGGGTCATTTTAAATGCCAAAATAATATACTACCACATTTACGAAAATTCTGGTCACTGTCATGTCATTAAAGCTAATAAAGCGACAACAAAGACAAAAGTAGAGAAACAAAAGTTGATTGACAATAGAAGACAATTGCACGTACTATTCTTACCAAAGGTTTTGATATTGTTATGACTTTATCTATTTCAGCATTGCTCATGATCTGATGAAAAATCATGATGTCTGGGTTGGTGAAGACAACCTCGATAGGACATCTTTTGATAGTGCAGAGTGAATGTCCTGTCTTATAATAGCACCTGAGTCTCTCCGGGCTTTGAGGGGCCTGGCAAAAAGGAGGCACTGAATGTGAGTAAAAATGCTGTAAAACAATATATTTCGCCCAGGAAACCTAACAATTTACCACGTTACTTATTCTACTTACACGCATCATAGTGTCGACAGTAGTGATCCTAAAATAAAACAGGGCGTTTCCCGCACATTTACCCTTTCACTCCCAAAATCTTTTTAGTGATTCTCCTCACTGTCAGCGATACAATTTTTATGATCTTCAGTCAGATGATTTGGTATTGGATCAACTAAAAAATCCGAATTGTTAATTTTCTTAATTCTCTTCACTTGTCCGATTGATATTGTAAGGAGAAATACTGTCTGTGTCACTCTCGACTGTCAAAGTGCTAATGATGAGTCTAATAATGACCGGCGAGCCAAAGTCCTGTAGTTCAGTACCAGATTATTGGATCACGAAAATCGAAGGTATTTGGTTAAAGGTTCCTCTTGGGGACTCAGGTTTTTTTTTTTTTTTTTTTCGTACCAATGCTTATAAGAAACGACTCGTAATTTTGTATAAACGGTCTATAAAAGTAAATTATTGACGACTGAAGTTTTGATATCGATGAATTTCTAATTCAAGGAATTATAGAATGCGACATACAGAACGATATTAAAATCTGTCGAGACCTTCCACAAAGCTGCCTCGTGACTCTTGAATTTTTTACGTAAGTCACTCACAGTCAAAGTCAATCTCCGCAATCTTTGATCATTCTGCCTTCCTCGTCCCTTTTAACTTTATTTTACCATTCTACTTAAACGGAATCCTCCTCCAAACCAAGGACACAGCCCATGAACGTTTTTTGGCCATTAACTTTTCACCCACCACTTCAACTTTTTAGTGCATTGTAATTTTCCTATTACTTACACGTGGCATTGGATCTCCTCGACACAATTTCTTAAAAATACGTCTTTCCTCAAACCAGTCAAAGTTCTTCAGTGTCGACTGAGGAATCTTCGTGGCCAGATAACTGAATTTCCGTTCCTGTTCTTGGGATTTCTGAGATTGGTCTCCGCTTTTGAGCTTTTGATATTCTTTAAAAGTGCCAAGATTTATCGTTGATCGCTCGTGATTGGGCACTGAAATAGGAGTTAACGCTTAACGTTATTTCCATGACGATGACCTAGATAACTGGAACATTCTCATTTATCAATTCAGTTATTTTACCTTAAAGAGCCATGAATGATAACTGATAAAAAATATTTCACAAAGAAATTCACTTTTCGGAAGACAACTATGAAATCTTACAGTTTTCTGCGTGGGTTTGTCGGACGCAAATTCAAGCAAGCAGTCTGAAACGCGGGAAAACATTTATAACCCAGCAGAGCTGTGATTGGTAGAGGAGGTGGCTCGAGTTTTTTCTAGACGAATCAGAGAACGAAGAAATGCAAAAATAATTCAATCCCGGGTTACTTGTGTACAATTACTTACCGACTTTAAGAGCCTCTATGGTGTAATTTATCGCACTTCTCACATCCCCAAGCTGTAAGAAGAAAATTATTTCAAATATAGATCGTAAACCGCCTTATACGTACTTGATTTGGCGATTTTGACAATATGGAAGTAGGGCATTAAATTTCGCGATTTAAGCGTTCTCCGCTTCATTTTTTTTTCCTAAGAAATCTGAACTTTTTTTAAAATTCCAAGAAAAACAGGGACAAGTGTTGAAAAGTTATCAGAAACTTGTGAACAACAAGGAATCATTTAACGGCAATTTAAGGAATGCGCATAAGATATTCTAAGGAATTTTGTATGAATCTACCAATTCAGATGAAGACAAGACTGTTAATTTTAACATTACAAAAGATACAGAGTGAAGCTTGTCTGTAAAACCAGTCACTAATTTGTGTATCAGTCGATACATATCCTGCATTTGTTGTTGTTACACATGGTAATCATTTTTCCTCTGATTTGAATCGAAGGTCTGTAATATATGTGGTATTAATTCTATATGGGTTAAATATATATATATATGCAGTTATATATATGCAGTTATATATATATATATATATGGGTATTAATTCTATAAAGGTGTTAAATTTCGCCTTTTTAAATTCCACGAGCATTTTTATTTGTAGGACTTTAATTTCGCAATTTTTCAACAATTGCGAAAAACGCGAAATTAAGTACAAACACCGTTACAAGTAAATTAGTAGGCTGATATATGAGAGCAAGGGGCATAGCTAGGTGGGAAAGGGAGGAGGGGGGGTCCTGAGGTGCCCGTGGTCCCCCCCCCCTTTATTTTTGTTACATCATTTAAAACACGGCGTATGGAGGTGGACATACTTACCTTATAAGAGGACCAGGCCAGATGATCCAGCACGGAGAATCGACTTGGTTTTTCTTTCGAGTTATTAGGTTCCAGGTCCAATATTTGTAACGATTCACCCATCCACTGCCGAGTGTTCTCCATATCTTCCGACAAAAATGCTCCGCGACCAATTTTAAATGCGTCCATGGCAGTTATCATTGAACCTGATTCAGTCGCTAAACCGTATTTACCTCTGGTAAAGTCTTGTGCTTTAAGGTTGTAGACATCTTGCAGACGTTTAATAGCGGACATGGCGCCCTCCAAATCATCTTGTCCAGGAAAGTGTTCGCGATAGCCTTCCAACTTGTCTATGAGTAAACCTTGACGATAATATAGAGAGATTCAGCTTGCAAACAATTCACGTCAATTATTATTCATTATTAACTCCAGATATTGCATTTCTCAGTGTTCCGATTGGTTCACTCAACTCCAGTTATCAGCATCTTATATTGAAATGCATTGCGATGTGTTGAAAGCTGAAATTTTTTCTGAAAGCATTCAAAGTTTTAGCATTTAATGAAATTGAAAAAAAAAAATTCATTCGCGCTTGTTGGATACGAGACTGATTAGAGCCACCTCGGCGCTACTCGCCTCGCTCGCTATTTATAATATTCTCTTATACAACATGCTCACAAGGATTGGAAAAATTGTTAATCATTCTTCTCTCAGAAAAACAGTTTTATGTAGAAACAAAACGCAGAATGCACGAAAAGAAAGTAAAAGAAATAAAAAAAGCTGAGAATTTTGATTTGAGAGATATAACAACTAATGCGCGAGCGAAGGCTATCAATCAAACAAAAAAGAAAAAAAATTCAATATTCCCCGGATTCACAAATTCGGTGCTTTGGTGGTATTTCAAATAAGCCACACATATTATGATTAATGTACCATAAACGAAAACTGATGTCTTGAATAAATAGTCTCACTTTTATTTACTTTTTTTCCTTATTGGTGACATTGGTTAAGGCAAAAATAATGCATGTTTTTTCACGTGGTTTTATTTAAAATCACAAGATGAAATTTTTTCATAAGTGCGTTTATTCTCATCAAAATAAAGAATTATTATTTTGGTTTAAAACTGTTGTTGGTAACACAGGCGTTATGTATTTATTGAGCCTTAACAAGTCTCCAAGGCAAGGTGTCTAAAAGCCACTTAATAGAACTTAGATTAATGATTTTTCGCGAAGAATCACGACAATTTATCCTCATTTAATAACACTTTCTGCATTAAAAAGTGTCCGGACTTAAGGCATTTAGGCACTAATAGACGGCCGTAATTTCTAACTGTGATCAGTTTAAGACATTGAACTTGTAAGATCTTTTCACCCATAAAATCAGCATGAACGTGAAGCTTACAAATTTGTAACGAACCTATTTTCATCAAATACAATTAAAAGCCTTTTCACCTAATTGTTTAATTTTGTCAGTATGATTACAAAAGATATTTTCAAAAACATAAACATGACACTGGAAAGGTCATTTGCATCACACACCTACGAGAGCATACAACAAGTTCCTTTAAAATAGCGTTTAAATTTTATCGATGGTAACCTAAGGTGTGAATGGATTGAGGGACATAAAGTGAACCAATAATCTAGTCAAAGACAAAGCCGTTTCAATAGCACTTTTCGCGACTAAGCGTTGACGAAAAAAAAGGGGAAAAAAATGAGAAAGACTGCAAAATTCCGTAAGCATGACCCCAGAGACATTTCTGTCAACGACTATCACCGTTCTATCCGAGTATTACGGTTTTCAAAGTCCATTCACATTATATATTGTGGATAAATTTCTTTCTATCACCTTTTTGAATTGGGAGTAAATGCGAGCGATGACTAGGCGACTAGATATAACAGGTTCATTGAGCTGCGAAATATCGCACGCTCTCGATTGCCGAGTTTTGCAACAGTGATAGTAAACAGCGGTCTTCACGGGTATTCTTTCAACGCCTCCACGGAAGCCATTTCGATCGCTAGGTTGAACTTCGTCTTCTAAGTTTTTTTTTTTCTTACGCTTATCAGCACTACTGCGGTGTAACTGACCGTACAAAAGTGTTATTTTTGATGAATTAACTGGTTTACCTTCAGCGTCTCCCTCCTCTTGAATCGCCTTTACGTGTGGCCTCCACTCATTCACGAGCCGTTTGATCATTAAATACGTATTCATTGGATGTCCGATGTAAGCCTCCCTATTGTGCTTCGCTTGATCCATCGCCAACTTCAGATCTTGGTAGAAAGATCGCAATTTGTTCAGCCGTGATTCTTGTTCGATGAGATATTCTTCTAGCGTGTCAGTGAGTTCCATCTCTATATTTACCAACCGCTCCACATGAGACAGCGCTGTGAATATCTCCGACTGAACAAATGTACTTGATGTTATAAAATACAAAAGCGCGGTGAAAAGCAAACATTTCGCTGCCATAATGTATCCGAAACGTAGCGGCAGCTAATCGACGAATAAATACATCGATAGCAATGGTGAATGGGCATTTGTGTATTCGCAACAGCAAATCACGCATGCTCGAGACGACCAAGAGGGGTCGAGAAACTGATCGCGGATTTCCATGTTATTTCCAATCTCAAATCCATACTTTTGATCCACCGAATATTTTCCCTTCTTTCTTTCTTTTCTATGAACAGAATTTCAGCGTAAACATGTAAGTCCACATTTCAAAACGAATGAAAACCAAATATATTCGGTAACGCATTCTTCTCAGTCAAGGTACCTGTCTACCAGTGAAAGTCACTTTGTTAATAATTAAAGACTGAGGTGTGACAAAGACCAGTAATGTGATCCGTACGTGCCAAACTTCATGCGTTGTGCTCTGAAAGATTAGAGATGAAACTGCTCTTAACAGATGCAGACGGTAAGAAGCTCTTTTTGCAGAACACTAAGAGCTGTGGATTCGCATTGAGGATCTCAGATTGCGCGACTTACTGGTGAATTTCATTTTCATTTCTTTTTTGTCTCGTCACGCATCGAAAAACTAAAGTGAGAAAACCAAGGTAAAAAAAGCATAGGATGCCGAAAACCCAGAATTTCCAGGGTAGTATCTCACTGACAAATAAAAAATTTCCCTGATTATGTGCACTTTTACGATCTTAAGCCATAAGCCGAAAATGTTACCAGACATCCATTGAGGTAAGGATTGATAACCCACGGTCTGCTTATACACAAAGCAGGCGACTTTATCAGATGGATCGAATGGCATCATGAAGTTACAAACATTTACCGAACCGTTACATTTTGATTTGGGTCAGCCCCCTCGTCAGAAAATCTACTCTCTCCCGAGTCTTGCCCTGTTGTAAAATCCCAAGTTGATAGCAAATGTTTCACGAGGAATAACAGGGTACTAACAACTGAGTTGATGACGAAAATTTGCCACCGTAAAGAGTTTCAAAGCTTTTTCTTTGTATCTATAAAAATATTTTTTCTTGACGCTTCAAGCGTTAGCCCTTCGTCAGAGCGAATGAAGGAATTGTGGGTTGTGTGTGTGTTTACATGCAGAAAATGGAGCTACGCTATTGGTGGGAACATGAGGAGAAAACACGTGTACATAGGTTGAATGAAAAGCGCTCGTTGATGCTGTGGGGATTAGGAGCGCCCATTTGAAAAATTAATTTTTCTTCTAGACTTTTAAGGCTTTCCGAACTGCCTAGATGTAGGGAAAGGTCGCAAACTGCCATATGCTGCTTATAATGATTTGGGAAATTCAAGTGTCTGGCGACTGGTTTGGATGCGTCCTTGTCATTTCTTTCTACGTCGCGAAGTTGTTCTCTGAATCGGTCACCAAATCGTCTTCCCTAACTTTTTGCAATAAATGCAAGTTATGCAATAGTTGACATTGGCGAAGCTGCACGTGAAGTGTTCAGTGATCTTAATGGATCTCTTGGGTCCCGAAATTTTCTCTACGCTGTGAGGATTTTCCATCGTGAGTGAGCGCGTTTCAAAGTTCCAGGTTAGTCACTGGTTTGAAATGAACTTCTGACCAAGAAGTTCCCTTGTTTTAGCCGCCTTTGAATGAAATTAGTGGAGGTTGCGAAAAGATAGTACCAGCCTCTGAATCGTAATTTACAGTTTCTAAGAATTGATTCAACTGCGTGGTTGTGAGGGTGAAATGTAAGAGTGAATGGAATGCGATCGGTATTTTCCTTTTGAGGCGTTTGTAGTGCGGACTGTCGATCAATTCGGTCGGGCGCGGTGGTGGCCTACTTGAACGACGGAAACAAGATAGCCACTCTTTACGATGGCCAATTTACGTTATCAACTCAGTTGATAGTACTAAATTACCCTGTTATACTCTCCCATCGACGCGGAATTACAGTTTCTTTAGAAGCTTACCCTCTTTTGGTTTGTTGGAGTGTTGTTACAATTCAAAACACGTTATTTCCGGAGGAAAGCCTTGGCCAATAATCGGAAAAGTCGGTGTACCGAAAAATTGGAGTCAAGCACAGAAAAAAAATGTAGCAGCCGTTACCTTGACAATCACAACCGCCATTTGTCGCTCGCTTGCTCTTCCGCTCGCTTGAAGAGACTGAGGTACCGTTGAACGGGTCACCCGGTTATCAGTACTTCTCCGGAAGAGTTCTCTGACAGCCGGCAGCAACTATTTTGTTTAACTTCCCTTTTTCATTCTTTTGTAGCTCTTGTTGATTCTTAAACCTCATCTCACTTTTCATTTGATATCTCCTATATCTGTGAGCCGAATTTCATTAAGTTCACAGCAAATATGTCTCCAAGATGAAGTGGATAGTTGTCCAGATAAAATCGTCTTGATAAAAATTTAAAACAAAAACCAAGAAGGGGGTGGCATCTACCCACTCTTCCCCCTTGTACGTCCATGGTTTAACCTCTAAACCCTAAGAGTGTCCAACACCTAATTTCTACCCAGAATATCACCTTATTTCTTCCCTTAGTCACACATTAAGGCCATTGGGTCCTTGTTGTCAAGGAAACGCCTATACCTGTGAGCAGAAAAATTATGTTACCTGCAACTCGTTTCGCAATGATTGTTTGATGCCATTTCACTCTAGGACCCCCTGGTGGAGGAAATGACTAGTGGTTGTTTTTGTATTGTTTTATTTGGCCTCGCTTGAGTATCATAATCAATATTCCTATCATAACGTGCTTGACTTTTCTCCTCGTATATTCTCAAGGCTTCCTTTAAATTTTATTAATGTTTTCAAGTAGTTAACAAGCGCATATGAAAAAGTAAAACGACCTAGCTAAAAATTCATCGTCCCATTCGACTTCCACCTCGAAGATTGATCAGTGGCGAAGATCTTCATACAAACCTATTTTTGCTCGCTCTATGTATTCCCTAAAAAATCTCGATGAATCCGAACTGAGATTTTTGTAAATTGAGTATCTTACTTCCTATTGACATATGCGGCTAGTCATTCAACAAGCTTTGAAAACCGGTTTCCAAAGTTCAATCAGCTATGCAACCTCTCGCATGGAACGATTGTCATCTCGCAGGAAACGTTTAGGTTCTCAAGAGGCGAGGGAAATTTTTGTCTTTGAGCCAGAGAAGATCAAAAAAATGAAAAGAAATGATATTTTTGTTTTCCCTACCGCCTGTAAAAAATAAATATTTTTATGTAAATAAGTCAAAATCAATTAGCTGAAATTCAAAATGTTTTATTTACTAAACTTCGAGAGTTTTCCTAATACCCGCCTGGCTGGTTGGATCACCTATTGTGACGCTTTAAATTACACCTGAGTATATATTTTCCTCTTGCACGTTTAACCGAAATAAACGCCGAAATTCTTGCAGAAGAAATCCTTTCGACTGGTCAAATTCACTGCCAATTTGAAATTTCCCACAGCTGACCTAAAATCATGATAAATTGGTCGAAATTGTCCGAAAATTAATGTCAGAAAAATAATGATAAAAACTGAATAGCGATTGTCTAACTAAGAATTTAAGCAGCCATGCCTGGAGCGACAGCAGATTAAAACCATATCACTAAGAAATAGATTGAATTACTCTTCCTTTGGCAAATTCCCCTCGCTCCTGGCTAGAGTTCATTAGCTTTTTTTGTGTGCGTCGTAGCGTGCAAAGCGCAAAATTACAAATGGAAATTTAACAGCACTCTTATTACTTATTTACTAAGTCTTCTTCGAGATATAAATAGACTGGAGGCAATTAAAATTTTGTCGAAAATTCGAGAAGTTACTAGCTTTCGAGAATTAGTTGTCATATGTTAAGTCGATAGTATTCCATTTTTGATGCTGCGGTAAATATTTGCATTTTTATACCGGAATTGACAACTGAGACATCACACAGGTAAATATGAGTTTTAAGGTTTTTTCAATAGAATTTTCACATAGTTTTAGATTCGCATGTGTCATGTGTATAAGTCAGTTTTCTGTTTACCAACAACTTTTCGGATTGAAAAAGCATTCCACTGATAAGTCACCTTTTTACCTATTTTGTGTCGTTCAGGAAATGAGGCAAATATGCTGAAATTGCATCAATCTACAAACTAATATGTATCTTTGGGAATGTCTGCTCGGGGCAGTAGTAATGTTTTCTATCAGATATAGCTTAAACGAACAAAGAATGATGAGTATACTTTTTTAAAGCAACAAAGGCTGTGTCATTATAATTCAACTTCCAAAACTTGCATAGAATGGGACGCATTCTTGTCCGGAACAATTTCAAATTATTAAGATTCGTGCCTGTGTTTACTATATTTGATGATTTTATGAACTGTGTTTTCAGTTTCTCGATTTTACCGGCCAGTTGATTCTCGTTCTTATTTATTTGAGCCGAGAGCCCTTTAAGACAAGGAAAAATATTATTGTAGCTACTCCATTTATGGAAGAAATGAGAATTTGCCATCAACGTCAACAATCGTTGAATTTTCGCTTGGCTGCCTTTTGCTGTTCTATATTTTGTACAATCAACTTTTGCGTATCTTAATAGAGATCTAAAAAATTATTTTCTTTTCTGTGCTAGTTTTATTTGAAGAAATGTTTCCCAACCATAAATTGCAGGGGTTTTCCAGCGCTCACCCACGTCTCCTAAGTCCGACGACTCATTGCTGGCGGCTAACTGCCTAAGATATACTTCAGGGGCAAGATGGAATCTTTTTTTCGAGAAGCATAATACACACTTCAAACTAAAAAAACAAACAAACAAAAAGAAGAAGCTAACAAACACAAAGGTCTTGTTTTCCTTATTCGAGAATCAATAATAGTCACTAACTGAAGTCAGCTTATGAAAAACAAACTGATTGCAGTGTATCTGATTGATGATTATTAATATGAATTTAAAATCAGACTAAGCCCCAATAATGAAACAGTTCTTTAAGTTCAGTGTGTCCAACATTCAAATTAAATTCTCGAGAGGCGACAGCGTTCTGTCGAAAGTTTTTTGTTATGGAAATTCTTCCAAACTGAAAGAACGGTTTTACAAGTAATCAATTTGAACAGCGGGACCGCTCATTTTACAGAGGAGGAATTTCAACGGCTCCGTAGGGAAAATTTCCAAAATTTTAAACTTATGTACGCAAATTGTTAAAAGTAATCATTTTTAGCCGTAGGACTGCTATATGCAGATGAATAAACAAAAGACTTGAAATTTATGTGTCAAAGCAAGACCTGCCGACATCGAATCGAACTTTGAAGGAAGCCTTGCGTACAGAAAACAAAAACAAAAACGCGCAGAGATAAATAAACAAGAGTAGGCCGCAAAAAATGCTATTTAGCGTATCCAAACACTT